TGAAAATGCATGCCTCTTTAAAAAAAAAAAAGACAGCGGTGACAGCAGGGCTCAGTGCTCAAGGAGGGACTGTCAGCTGCACACGCACGGTGTGGCACGGTGTGGCACGGTGTGGCACGGTGTGGCACGGTGTGGGTGTTTTCCCCCACCTCACAGATGAAGAGGACAGGGTCTGCTGGCCTGGTTTTCTTCCTTTGCTTTGTGTCTCTACATCTCACATATGCGCAAAGTCATCCAGGATTTGTCTTTCTTCTGACTTGTTTTCCACTTAGCAAAATCCCCTCGGGGTCCTTTGATGTTGGCACACACGGCACGCGAGTGCATGCTCTGTGAGGCTGAGCAGTATTTCGCTGCTGGGCACCAGGCCTTCCTTATCTGCCCATCTGCTGTCGGGCACTTCGGTGTTTTCCATGTTGTGCCGCCGTGAGCCGTGCTGCGTAAACACGGGGGTGTGTTCCGATGAGCGTTGTCATCGTCTTTGAATAAATACCCAGACGGGGAATGGCTGGGTCAGGTCTGGTTCTGTTCCATAGTTCTGGTTTTCATTTTTTGAGAAACCCCTGTACTGTTCTCCACAGGAGAAAAGGGTAGAGCAGGTAGGTGGTGGGATGATGAGATCTTTGGTGGCGGGTGCGGCGTGTGTGCCCCTTTGTGGAGGGGTGAAGCTGTGTGGCTGAAACTTACAGTCTTGTAAACCGATGTTAACTCAATTTATTTATTTTATTTTTTTTTTTAATTTTCTAGAGGCATGTCTTATTTATTTATTTATTATTTGTTTGTTTGTTTTGTTTATACATGCACTGGGTACAGTCAGAAGCGCGGGAGGGTGAGAGAATTCACCAGAGCCAGAGCGGGGAGCAGAGCAGGCAGAAGGACCGAAGTACACTGCTGAGGGGAGCAGCGGGCGGCAGGAGAGGTCTGCGCGCCATGTGGGACCCTCCTCCGGTGGCCGGGGAGCAGCCGGGGATCGAACCGGCGCCGCAGAGGCCGTGGGTAGCTTCGCAACCCAGCGCTCAACCGCTGCGCCACTGGGGAGGCCCTGTTAACTCAATTTAAACAAGAAGGCGGCGGCAGCGGGCCGGACCGCGCGCGTCTGTGATGCTGGAGGCAGCTGCTAATGATGAAGCTGAGTTCTGAGTTCGGCGCTTGAGTCTGTTTGACCCTTTCCTCTGTGTCCCCCCCACCCAGGAGACAATCTCCCCCGCCCCTGCGGAGAGGGGCTCCCAGAGATAGTGAATTCTTGGGGGGAGGGGGAGAAACCCCCATTTCCACGTGTTTCTTCCTTCCTTGGCCGCCTGAGGTGCTCACGGTCTGCTTCTGGCCCGTGACAGGAATCCTCCCCTGACAGATTTCTGTGCACTGGGACGAAGTGGGGTGTCTGCAAAGAGATGGATCCAGTCCCCCCCACGCCTCCGGCCTGAGGGATCCAGGGTGGTCATCCTCCACGGCCTTTCTCTGAGAGCATGTGCTGAAAGGGGTCTCTTCTGCCCTGCGGGGAGCGCTCCACCTGGGCCTGACCCCCTCTTTCTGTTGCCTCACAGGCCCTTCATGCTGCTGCCGCCCCTGATGGAGTGGATGCGCGTGGCCATCACCTACGCCGAGCACCGCCGCAGCCTCACTGTGGACAGCGGCGACATCCGGCAGGCGGCCCGGTTGCTGCTGCCCGGCCTGGACTGCGAGCCCCGGCAGCTCAAGTAAGGGACGGAGAGGGGTGCGGCGGGAGGGCCCTGTGTCTGTGCCCAGGCCCCCACGGGGGTCAGGGGGTGGGGCCGCAGCGGGGTCAGACTGTCCTGCAGGTGCCCGACCTGTTCAGGCTGATTTGTCCAGAGCAAGACGTTGCCCAGATCATTTCGTGCAGCGCCGCTCTGGTACAGAGCAGACATTCTCGTGGATGTTTGGGGGAGCGGGTGTGGCAGAGTGGATCACCCCTTTCCTCTCTGTCTTGTCACTGTTTCCTGAGCGCGTCTAGGCAAGTGCTGTTTAAGTACATGGTTTCCATACCAGGCCTGTGCTACCGATGGGGAAGCTGAGGGCCAGGGGACCGTCACGTGCCCACAGATGCTCTGCCGGCAAAGTGATCACACCTAGATTTGATCCCAGGTCCACATGACCTCAGGTCTGGGCCCTTAATTTCCTTCCCAGAATGCCTCTCTTGTATTGGGCTGACCTGAAGTGACTCCAGAGGAGGTTCCCTCGGGCCATGCTTGGCCCATGAGAGGTCGTTTTCGACCCCCTGCCCAGGTTAGTTAGGGCCTCCTGTGTCCAAGAAAAATGGAGCCTCATCCTAGGACATAGGCTTGCTGCACTTTGACCAGCCGAAGCTCCCGGCCAAAGCCACAGTGGGCGGGCTGTGGTGTGTCCTCTGTAGACACAGGTGTTCTCTGGGACTCCCTGTGGATGGCTTACTTGCGCTTGGATTCTGGCCTCTTTCCACTATCTCTTCAGTTCTTCGAGGCCTCCCCAGGAGTCCTAGAGGATAGAGAATGGACAGCTAAGAACTTGCACTTAGCCACAGTGACCGTCCTCTAGGCCAAGGGCAGCCAGGCACAGCCATGTGCTATGGCCCCAGCCAGGCCAGCCCGCCTTCCCTACTCGGCAGTCCTCTGGTGGATTGTTTTAGTTGGGACTGTTTCCTGTCGTTCGTGGCCCTTTCCACCCCTCTGACCCTACCCGCCTGTCAGCCCAGCATAGCTTGTGGGTCTCATTGAGAGGCAGGGTCCTAGCAGAAGTGCACGTATGGTCACACTCACACACCTGGGTCTCTTCCACGCAGGCCCGAATGCTGTTTCAGCTCCTTCCGGCGGCTGGATGCCCGAGCAGCTACTGAAAAATTCAACCAGGACCTGGGTTTCCGCATGCTCAACTGTGGGAGGACAGACCTCATCAACCAGGCGATCGAGGCCCTGGGCCCCGACGGGGTGAACACCATGGACGACCAGGTGCGTTCTGAGTGCTCCGCTGGCCGGGTGTGGGGACCAGTCAGGGACTCGTGATTGCCAGGATGGGTGACAGTCCTTTCTGTCCCCAGCCTGACACCTGCTCAGGTCTGTGTTTCTAGCAGCAGCCTGCCTCCCAAATGGTGACCTGGCTGTTCCACGTGGGGGTCCCGTGGAGACTTCCCTAGCACCCCTTTAAAAACCTTGGAAATGGGGATTCTGCTTTCTCGCTGGAAGGCTGGAGACTGTCCCAGATGGTGCAGGGCTGGGATTGTCCAGAGGATTCAGCTTGGCTTCAAGCTGTGCATGATACCCGCTAGGACTTGCACGAGAGCGTCTTTTGAGCCCACTCTGTGCCAGGCCCGACAAACCCTTGCTGTCACAGAGCTGCCATGCTAGTGGGGGAGACAGACACGAGGGAACAAGCATGTAAAATCCCGGGTACACCTTTAGATGTGTTCAGGAATAAAAGCCGGGACAGGGCATGGAGGTACTGGAAATGATACGTCATTTTAGATAGGATTTCACTTGAGTTTTTTGTTGGCTTTGTTTATGCTGTGAAGCACTAGCGTGAGCAAAACACCATGTGCCAGGCGTTGTTCTAAGCACTTTGTACAGATTAACTCATTTAGTCGCAACAGCAGCCCTATGATGCAGGTAGTTACTCTCCCCATTTTCCATGAGGAAACCGGCGCAGAATTGACTTATCTAAGGTCACACAACTAGTAGGAGCAGAGTAGGGACTAGAAGGATGTAAGCAATCCCATGCCAGGCTCTCGACGTGGAATAATAGCCTGTGCGTTTCTCTGACGCTGTGGCGAGTGCGTGCAGTGTAGGTAATGGCACCGTGGGCTGGAGGACTCAGAAGCTTGAGGGATGACGGTTAGATCGAGGGGTTAAGCAACGCTCTCGCAGGGTGTGATGATGCACCCAATGCACTGTGAGGCCCAGGTGGCCTTTGACAGGGCAGGCAGGAGCAGCCAGGGAAGACTTCCTCCTGGACAGTCTGAGTCAGGCAGGGGGGAAGGACCGTGGGGATGCAGCAGAGGAGGGTCAAAGCCTTCCAGGGGGCACGATGCGAGCAGGAGTGATGGGGGTGGGACAGCAGACGCATATGTGAAGCAGGGAGACCAGACATCTTGGGCGGGTTGTCTGTAGCCACGCAACTGGGGAGGTGACAGGCTGGGTGTCAGGTCTCCCAGAATTCCCCTCCCCACCCCCCCAGTCAACACAGATTCCAGGGCTTCATAAGAACTTTCATTCTCGGGGAGTCATCTCCCCTGAATTCAGCAATGCCATGGTGACACCTGTGGCCTTGAAACTGGACACACAGCATCAGAGGCGGGGCATCTTGGGGGACCTGTTCCACCTCTCCTGGCCCAGTCTCACCTCCAACATGGGGGAAAGTAGTAGCTCCTGCCCAGTTTGTTGGGAGACCTTCATCTGGCAAATGTTCCATGAAAGTTCATTCTGGGTTTGTTGCTGCTGTGATGTTTGATTTAGCCACTTAATATTACCTGGACTAGAGATGGGGCCAGAGGGGGAAAAGTTTCTCCTCACAAGGCTTATAGCCTGGCTTACTCCAGATTGTGTGCAGATGTGTGGAGGAAAAAGCGTCCAGTGTATGCAGAAGGGAACGGCAATGCCAAATGTTCCCGCTGTGGCGGCTGGCTCTTCTCTATGTGTTGATCCTGTTTGCTCCTCAGCCTCGGTATTTACAGAGCAATCTGTGGGTAAACAGTCCTCTCACCGGTGATTAATCTCAGGCCATTTCTTTATCTCAGGGTACTAGGCAAGGATTTATGAGGTAAGGAGATCTCGTCTACACACAAATAACCTAATAAATAACATCGCGGGGCTCCAGACAAATGCTTGCCAGGATCCAGCTGTGGAATAACACTTTCCACTGCTGCCCGTGCTGTTACTGGCCACAGGGAGGGATTCCCAGCCAGGGAGGCAGTCCCTTAACCGCCCACCTAAACTCAGGGAGGGATTGGACCTCAGCTTTTGGAAAAGCTCTGACGGGCTCAGTCGAGTAAGATGTTAAAATCAAACACCCCTCCACCCTCCACCAGGTGCCCCAAAGGCTGAAGTTCACTGCTCAGACCTGGGTGCAGTGGGAGTTGCTCTTGCTTGTGTGATCTTGGATAAGTTAATTGCTCTCTGCTCCTCAGGGGGCATAATGGGGATAGTAATAATGAGCCTGAGTAGGGATGTTATGGTGATTAAATGAGGTGGTGCACGTCAATCACTTCTCCAGGTCTGGGATAACGCGGTAGCCGTAAGTTAGTGTTATGCTTTTAATTTAGTGTGACCAAGCTGGTCCTGTACTAATCACTTACACATAGGAACTCAGACGCCGGACAACCCTGTACAGTAAATACTGCTGCTAGTTCCATTTCAAAGATAAACTGAGGCAGAGAGGTATAAGAAATGTGTACCAAGTTTACAGGTTTCCCGGGCAGAGGTGGCCTGTGCTCTTCACACCTCTGGGGGCCTGCAGTGCCTGTGGAAATGTCCCCTATTCACCCTTTAGGTATTAGATGCGCAGGGGGAAGGGCAGGCCCACCCAGCACAGGATCCAGAGTCACTCAGGGTGAGCAGCCTGTCAAGCAGGGGACCAGACCTTTGGTTCCTAGGACAGAAGCCGGTGGCCCAGATGTCAATGTTCAGTTTCCTGCTTTTGGTCCATGCAGGGTATGACGCCGCTGATGTATGCCTGTGCTGCTGGGGATGAAGCGATGGTCCAGATGCTGATTGATGCCGGAGCAAATCTGGACATCCAGGTGAGGGAGCCCCAAAGAGCTGTGCCTAAATCCCCGGCCTAGCAAGGAAGCACCTCAAGATCTCCACTGGCGATGCTGGTGCAAGGTTTTGGACAACTGGGTAGATGTTTCTGAAGACTGCAAATAATATGCACGGAAATGACATTTAGCAAAGAGGATCTTTCCTCACCATTCGGGCTTTCTTGTCTGACAGGTGAGCTGAGGGGGAAATAGAGAGAAGGTGGCCATAATTATGTTACCATAGTACCTTCCCCTTTACCAGCCATCCCTCTCCTCACCTTCCTCTGAGGTATAAGATGCTCCTGGCAGACATTACCAGTCAAATGTAGAAAGCACTTAGTCACCATCCCTGCAGGGTACCCTCTTAACTCAGGTGCCTGTCACCTGTTCAGGAATGTCACTCACCCAGGAAACACTGATCATTTGTGGTATTTGCCAGGTTCCAAGCAACTCTCCCAGGCACCCCTCCATCCACCCTGACAGCAGACACTGGACATCACTGACGTTCGCTGTGCTGCATGGACACATCTCTGTGGTCCAGGTGAGCTCCTGGCAGGTGTGCAATATGCCCCAGCTTTCCAGATGGGCTGAGCCCCAAGTGTCGCCCCAGGCCCATGTGGAATCAGAAATGCCAGAAGCAGAAGTACAGGCTGGCTCACCTGTCAGCAGGCAGAGACACACCTGGCTTGCCTCAAGGAGAGGCATGTATAAGGGTACATGTGGAATTTTAGGGCACAAGACCCAGGCCCAAGCAGTACCAGGGTGCCAAGAGGCTCATCTGGTATCTCTGCACCTTTCGGTGCATGCTAGAATCTCTGCAAGTGTGGACAGAGCCCTGGCCACGCTGCCACTCGACTCCCAGGCTCCTTTGCTCCTGGGGCCACAGGGTTTTCAGAATTATCTCATCCCATTTTGGGAGTCCACATAACTCCCTCACTGTCCACTTGATTGTGAGTCCTCTGAGAGCAGGGGTCACACCAGCTCTACCCATCTCTGTCATTGAGTCGACTCCTGCTACAGGCCCAGGCTTAGTTAAGTGGGGGTTACCGAGCAGTGCCACACCAACCTGCTTTTCAGTTACTGCCCTCCTAAGAACCTATGCAAAGTTCCAACCCAGCCCAGACGAGCCTGCAGGGTTGTGCCATGGACCTGCCTGGACTGCTGCCCAGTTTCATCCTGATGGGCAGGCCTCCACATCTGCCTTGGCACATCGGCACAGGCGATGGTGCCATGGCTGATTTCTAATTGACAAGAGCCTCCTCCTGATGCCCCACACCCCACCCACTGTAGTGGAGTCTGAGAGGGTGGCCTAGACGGGCCCCTCACGCCAGTCTCTGGGTGAGGGGCAGGTGGGTTTCCCAGAGATTGCCAAGCATAGACTCTAGGAGCGATTTGATCTCCAGAAACCTGGAGAAGATGGAAGGTGGTTTCCTCCAGAGCAGCCAGTCAGGAAAGGTGAGACAGAAAGTCACCTGTCTCGCAGACACCACCCTGCCCCAGGGCAAAGCCAGCCCAGCTTAGCTGGAACTGCTAGTGTCAACCCTGCCCCATCTGTCCGTAGCAAGGCCCGCCCTTGCCAGATGGAGAAAGGCCACCCCACTACTGGCTGGTGTGCTGAACCTTTCTAATGAGAACCCTAAAAGCCAGTTTTTTGAGTCTCTGCAGAGAGTTGCGCACCATTTCATTTAATTCCCAATAATGCTGCAAGGTAGGCCTCTCCCCGTTTTTCAGATGAGCAGGACTAAGGCTCAGGAAGTTGAGGCAGCTGCCCTCGTTGCTCACTGGCCAGCCCCAGCCCTCAGCAGTTCTGACTCTAACGCCTCTGCCTTCCCCCCAACCTCTGCTGCCTCCCAGAGCCTCATTTTCTGCTCTGCTCATCTACATGAACTCTTACAAGGGTCATTGCAGCCAATTCATGGGAAAGTGTTTGAAAGAAATAGCTCAGAGTTCCAAGCAGCTTAGGGGCTTGTCCACGGCCACAAGAGTGGCGGAAGAGCCGTGCAGATAAGCTGCCGTGCCAGTCCGTGGCCACCTTGGTCACAAATCTGGAGAGAACTAAAGGCCTGCTGCCTCCTGCACATGTCTCAGCCCCTCCCTGCCTCGCTGAAAGGTCCTCCTCTGTGCCCTGCAGCTGCTGCTGGATGCGGGAGCCCACGTGGAGGGCTCAGCAGTGAATGGTGGTGAGGACAGCTATGCGGAGACACCCCTGCAGCTCGCCTCTGCGGCTGGTAGGTACACCACTGCCCGCAAGGGTCCCTGATTGCCACTAGGCTTTGCCTGCCCCTCCCCAGTGTCACCAGCCTGGCTGGCTCTGTAGCAGGACATTTCGCCCCAAACCCCCAAGACTAACCTTAAAGCCCCTGCTTCTGGGCTTCTGAAGGGCTCCCTTTGCCCCATCCATCTGTGTTTCTGCTGAGCTCAGCAACCAGGTAGGACTCAGCAGAGGGCTTGGTGACATGGGTGGTGGCAGCATGCTCAGTCCACCTTGTCTTTTAGGGAACTACGAGCTGGTCAGCTTGCTGCTAAGTCGAGGTGCTGACCCCCTCCTCAGCATGCTGGAAGCCAACGGCATGGCCTCCTCCCTCCACGAGGACATGAACTGCTTCAGCCACTCAGCTGCCCACGGCCACAGGTACCTGTTGGGGCTTGCTGCCCTGTGTATGTGGGGACATGACACCGGCTCTCAGGAGCTCTGGTTCCCCAAAAGGGAGCAGAAGAACTGGGCCTGGAGGAGAAAGGGTGGCATTTGCATGTGAGTCAGACAGAAAGAGGACACAGATCCCCAGCCAGCACATGGGCCCCTGATGTTGGAGACCAGGGACTAGAGTCCTGGTCTCTCAAAGTGCATACCGTGCAGGACACACCACCCCGCAGCCACCTCAGTGCTGGCTCTCCGGGGCCCGCAGCCACATGCTCCAGGGGCTTCCATAGGGCACATGGCTCCTGGTGAAGCTATAGGAAGTCAGGTTCCACTCCAAGAGCTCACGGTAGCCTTGCTCCGTGGGGCCTGTTCAGGGGCAGCAGCGGGCAGCTCTGGAGACAGAAGAGTCACTATAAGGCAGAGAAAGGGCCAGCCTCCCACCTCAGAGCCACACTCTGCCCCAGCATTTTTCTCTTTTTCTTGTGTGACCCTGTGCCCATGCTCACCCGCTTAAACCTGCCTCCCCCAAGTGCCCCTGTATTTTCTTGATGGGCCCTCTCCGCCCAGCGTGGGGATTGCCTGCTGGCTCGTGTACTCCCTGCAACATGGGATCCTCAGGACAGCACAGGTCACTGTCACATACCCGTGCACACCACCCCTGGGCTAGCACAGCTATAGCTGACCCCCAAGGGGTCTCTGGACCGTGAGGTTGGCTGTGTCACACCATGGCTCTCATCCTGGGGAGGAGAAAGGGCTCCAGAGAGGAGGCTAGGCCCCAGGTGACCTTTGCTGCAGCCATCCAGTCCCAGGCCACGGATGTGGGTTTGGAGCTGAAGTCCTGGGTTCAGTGCACTCTCCCACTGTGACCTTGAGCAAGACCTATTGATCACCTGAAAATGGTGATGTTCAGGGGTCCCACGCGCCGGTACACGGGATGAGTCCTGTGTAACATACCTCCTCACGTCAGCCTCATCAGTGCAGGAAGGGGAACAAGTATAAGCTTGTCCTGTGTTGCCGACAGTTCTGCACATACAGTCAGCAGCTATTATGTCTGTTGTGCATCAGGCTCTGCATTTAGTGCGGTCACAGTGGCCTCATTAACCCCAGGAAAGAGTAATGCTGAGCCCTCTTCAACAGATGACAAAGCCGGCAGGCCTCAGAGGGTAGGATAGCCAGTCTGAGGTCACACAGCTCGGATGGCGGAGCCTGCTTGACCCCAGAGGCTGTGACTTCTCAGTCGGTAGCACCTGGATAATTGAGGGAAGGGGTGCCTGCATCCTCCCTGCCAAGTATCTGTGCACAACCCCTGGCCCGGTCTCCCTGGGAGGGGTAGGCTATGAGGGCATGAGGGCTGTGTGTCCACAGATGCCCCTAGCCACCCAGTAGGGCCACGAGGTGCTGGAAGGCAGTGCAGAAGGGCACTGACCTCATGCATCACGCCTGTCCCTTGTCCCACAGGAACGTCCTGAGGAAGCTTCTGACGCAGCCGCAACAGGCCAAAGCAGACGTGCTGTCCCTGGAGGAGATCCTGGCTGAAGGCGTAGAGGAAAGTGATACGTCAAGCCAGGGCAGTGGCGGTGAGGGGCCTGTGCGGCTGAGCCGGGCGCGCACGAAAGCCCTGCAGGAGGCCATGTACTACAGCGCTGAGCACGGCTACGTGGACATCACCATGGAGCTTCGGACGCTGGGTGAGGCCACGCGGGCAAGTGTGTACATGTGCACACTCACACACCTATACACTCGAACAGGCGCACACACACTGCTGCTCTTTGGCAGGCCAGAAGCCAGCAAGGTCCACTGGCAGTGACAGGCCTGCAGCTTGGTCAGGACAGGCGATGCCATCCTCAGTCAGTCCTCAAGGGGGACGCATCTGGCGGTCATCACCCCAGCCCTCGTCCCTCAGGCCCTGGACTGCTCTGTAGCGCCAGGCACATCTGCTGCATCTGAGTCATGGCTCCGGCCAGCTGGAGGCGCTCTGGGCCCTGGGCCAGCCTCACTCACTCGTTAGACCTGTATGTCTGTGGACCTTCCTCTCCTCAGGGGAGGCGAGGCAGGCAGCCTGGTGGAAGGAGACCCCAGCTGTGCACATCAATGCTGCTTATCTAAGAACGTGGTCATGCAAAATACAGGCCCAGACTGGCTCACCATGAGTGCCCAGCGCCTAGTGGCACTTCCTTGCTGTCCCGGGGCCACGGCTCACAAACGCTGAGAGCACACCGCACGCCTTCCCACGGCACACCCGGGCTCTGCCGTCCTCGCTGAGGCCAGGACCTCACCCACCTGCAGTCATAAAGCAATGTGCTGTTTCCCCCTCCACCCCCTGCATCATCCTGGCCCTGGGGAATGCCACTGGGGCATTTTTTTAATCCACAGTGAGGCTAGGGGTTTAGCAGCTCTCTAATTACCAGGAACATGACTAGCTTTTGTCATGACCTTCACCGAGTAGTTTTAAATGGTTCTGTGGCCTCACTGACACACTCCAGGTTGCTGGTAAACAGTAATTATGTGCCACTGGGGGGTTCCAGACAGGCACAGGGCCCATGTGTCCTGAGGACCTAGGGCATCCGCATCCACCTGGCCACCCCTCATAATAATCCTCCCCAGGGAGTAATTGCAGGGCCCAATAAGCAGTAAGGCCAGTGTGGGTGCCAGGGTGACACCTGACTCCCTAGGCTGGGCTCTAGATTTCCAGAGCTTGGGCTCCCTGCACCTCCTCTGATGGGAATGTGGACTCCCACCTCTCAGAGAGGCCTGTCAGGATAGAAAAGGGGTCATTTCAGCACGCAGACAGAAGGGGGATCTAGGGGAAGGGGTGGCTCCCCACCCCCACAGACATCTGGTGTATCTCAAGAGGCTGCTGTAAAGGGGGTCCGTGGGGGCACTGCCAGGAGCTGACCTCTGCCCTTCCCTGCCACCCAGGAGTGCCCTGGAAGCTGCACGTCTGGATCGAGTCTCTGAGAACCTCCTTCTCCCAGTCCCGGTACTCCATGATGCAGAGCCTCCTGCGGGATTTCAGCTCCATCAAGGAGGAGGAATACAACGAGGAGCTGGTGACCGAGGGCCTGCAGCTCATGTTCGAGATCCTCAAAACCAGCAAAGTGAGTGCTGCCAGGCAGGGCCCCACCCCAAGAAGCCCAGTTAGAGAGCCACAGCCCAACCCAGGCTCTGGGCAGGCCCCACACTGAGGTGGGTGCCCACCCAGGCCTGCACTGCCTGGCAGCTGAGGGCAGAGGCCATGGATTTTTCTGGGCTGGAGTCTGGCCAAAAAAGCAATTTGGGGATTCATTGATAAAGGAATAGGCGGTCTCTTGCTAAGCCTGATCCAGGAGGAACAAAAGACCAAGGCTGTTCTAATCCTGGCCTGGACTTTTGAAATTAATCTGAAGTATCTGTAGCTGTAAACAGACCACAGCGAGTAGCGTGCTAACTGGCCTCTCTCCGCCTCTCTCCCCGCAGAACGACTCTGTCATCCAGCAGCTGGCCGCCATCTTCACACACTGCTACGGCAGCAGCCCCATCCCCAGCATCCCAGAGATCCGCAAGACCCTGCCGGCCAGACTAGGTGATGGGCTGCCCCCCACATCTGTGTCCTCCTTACCCATTCCCAAGTGCCAAGGCCAGGGCTCAGGTTCTCTGTTCACACCTCTGCATCCTCCCAGCTCACTTAAAAAATGCCTGGAGGTGGGCTACTCAGTCATTTCCACTCTCTCCCCCTCTGGCACAGATCCTCACTTTTTAAACAACAAGGAGATGTCGGACGTGACCTTCCTGGTGGAAGGAAAGCTGTTTTATGCACACAAAGTCCTGCTGGTGACGGCTTCTAACAGGTAGGTGCCCAGGGGCCAGGCAGCTGCTGTCAGATGACAGACGTGCTGGAGAAGGGTCCTGGGCGGGGCACCCCACAGCCTTGGAGCTCCCACCAGCTCCAAATCGGAGCAGAAGGCAGACAGTGGGGCTGGGCCCAGAGTTCTCAGAGACGAGAGTGCTCTGGCCATTACTTTTGAATATTAGAAAAAAAATCACTGTTCCGGAATGAAGTTGGTTTTCCAGCCCCAGGTGTCATGGTCACTCGTGGGGGGGGCGGGGCTTGGCAAGCTGTCAGCCCAGGGCCCTGTCAGTGTCACTGAGAATTATGGCTTTGGGAGCACGGCGGTCTTTTGTAGAAGCCCCACATCCTGGTGAGCGGTCAAGTGCTAGACGGCGCCACCGCCACACAGGGAGGGGGTAAAAGGCGCATTCGAGACCCACCTCATTTCACCTCCTTTGCTCCAGGTTCAAGACGCTGATGACCAATAAATCAGAACAGGATGGCGACAGCAGCAAGACCATTGAGATCAGCGACATGAAGTACCACATCTTCCAGGTGGGAGCTCCACGCCGCACGCTTTTCAGGGGCATGACCTCTGTCCGTCTGCGCAGACATCACCGTCAGTGGCATATTCTGTTCCACTCCCGATGCCATCTGCATTTGGGGACACCAGTGGTCAGGTTATATAGAGTCCAGGTTTTTCCCTGTGCAAAGTGGCTACCGTATGTGGTTTTTTTTGGGGGGAGGGGGTGCAGGAGGTGTACCTTCAGAGCCATCTCTCGCATCCTGAGCTCAAGCACTGGACAAGGGGTCTGTGGGGACAGACATGCGGGGACAGACATGCACTGCCCAAGGAGTGCATGGGACCCTTGCTCCTCAGGTTGGGCTCCCAGCACCACTGACCTTGTCGGAGTGCCTGGTGCAGCTCAGACGCTCAGGTAGGGTGTCAGCAGGCCAAGCAGAAAGGCTGTGATGAGCCCATCCTGATGGTAGCAGACGAGGGTCAGGTCTTGCAAGCTGTAGACTTTGGAGCACTCCAGAGGCTGTGTGATGGCGACCCTAGACAGGCTGGTTGCCAGACACAGCAGAGGGTCCAGGAGACTGCTGGGAGCGCCTCCCTGGAAAGTGATGACTGTGTGAGGGCTGCAGTGGGCTCCACCCGGAGGGCCTGAGGCTGTACCAAGAGGCTGCTGGCGTGTGGGTCTAGAGCCTGGCCCCGCCCAGGATGAGCCTAAGGGGAGAGACAGGGCCTCAGAAGTGCAACGACTCACCATCTAGAATGTCGTGGTCCCTCTCACGCTCCCTTTACTCACAGGCATTGTGGGGACGGAAGTAAACAGGATCATGAAATAGTGTGAGGCATGGTGGGGGAGCACTGGGAGAGCAAGCAATTCGAGGCATCTACACCAAATGTGAGGAGAGGAAGTCACTTCCTGCAGGTGTCAGGGACAAGGCAGCTGGCCTGTTACCAAGAGCTGCAGATAGCAGGACCAGTGCACCCAAAACCCTAGTAGCCAGAGACCATGAGATGTTCAGCAATGCCCTCTAGTCTAGTCTGGGGAACAATTCAGTCAGAATATCCAGAAATGAGTCTTACGCTGCCCCAAGGAGCCATAGCCCAAGGCTTGGGCTCTAACCCAAGGACAGGTGGATCCTACAATGAGGTCACTGTCATCACTAACACTTGTCTAGACATGTGTCTCTATTCTCAAGTTTCACAGCACTGGCCTAGGAAGGGGTGGGAGGGAGTCAGAAGAACAGAGAAGTTGAGTAACTTACCCAAAGTCACACAGCTGAGAAATGATGGAGCCAGAATTCCAACCTAGGACTTGGAAGGTCGAGCTTGCATTTACAAAGTTCATTCTAGAGTGCAAAGAAGGAAAGAATGTCCTGAGCAAACTCCATACAGGTTTTGTGGACTCCACCCCTACTCCAGACCGCAGCCATCAAGACACTGGGAATGACAAAGCCCATCATTACCAGAGGGAGGGTTACTGGGACTTGAGGGTGGCGTCCACAAAACCTGCATGGAGTTTGCTCAGGACATCCTTTCCCCCTAACAATTGGTTGGAGGGGCATCACTGCAGTCATTGATTACAGGGGCCAGGTTGAGGGTCGACGGTGACCAGACAGTGGCAGTGGGATGGAGGGGAGTGCCTGGGACTTGGTGACTGAGCCCCAGGGTGTGGGACAGGGTGTAGGATGAGTCTGGGTTGACCGGGCCATCTCCCTGCTTTTGTCCCCTGCAGCTGGGCTTCCTCCTAGACCCTCTGGTGCCTCTTCCCAGTTCTAACAGCGCCTGTGTCAGCTAGAACTGTGTTTACTTACATACTTGCCAGCGCTTCACCAGGGCCTTTTCTTTGGCCAGCCAGGGAAAATCATTTTTCCTTTTCCACTGGGACCCTCCCCAGGCTCCAGCACGCTGGCAAAGCATGTCTAAGTGTAGCTCTCCCTCCCCAGTCTCCTTGTTTATCTGCTAGGGTCCTTCTACGCCTAAGTGCCCACTCTGGGCTCGCTCTCACCCCCACATGGAGCCCTATGGCCAACAGGAGAATTAGAGGTGGGCTGCTGAGGGCAGCCAGTTAGATGTCCCCTGAGCTCCCCACCTGCATAATTAGGATTTTGGAAAAAGGAGAAATAAGCAGACTTGGGGGCTGTGGGTCCGTTTGGTACTCACCTGGGCCTCCTCCCGCTGCAGATGATGATGCAGTATCTGTACTACGGAGGGACAGAGTCCATGGACATCCCCACTGCCGACATCCTAGAGGTGAGCAGAGGGAGCCTGGGTGCCAAAGCCCACGTCTCTCCATGTGGAGACATCTGCCAGGTCTGAAGCCTGCAATCAGAAGCACAGAACATGTGTGTGTGCTTGGGGGTCGGGGCTGCTGCAGGACCTCCTGGGTCCTCTCTCTCTGTGGCAGGAAGGGCTATTTGAGAGACTGGGAATTGTCTGCCCAGTCTAATCTCCAGGGTGAGGCCCAGGGATCAGAAAGGGACACCCCAGGTGGGGCTGGTAGGCCCCGGAGGACCAGAAGACAGCTGGGCCTTCTACTCACCCAGCTAGAAGCTCATGTTGATGGAAGCTGTATCTTATACTTAAGCTCCCAGCCAGTGCCTGTCACCCTCCTGTGCCTCCCAAGTTGTCCCAGCAAATGCCTGGATGGCCTAGATCAGAAATAAATCAAGGCTGTTAGACTTAACCCACAAGTGGGCAGGGCCCCTGAGGGTCTGTGTAGGAGAGCTAAGGCCACAGGCCTGACTATGCACTCTGGTCAACCCCAAACTGCCTTTGTTACCCCACCAGCTGCTGTCCGCTGCCAGCCTATTCCAGCTGGATGCCCTGCAGAGACACTGCGAGATCCTGTGTTCCCAGACCCTCAGCGTAGAGGGCGCTGTGAACACCTACAAGTATGCCAAGGTGAGCACCCCCACCTTCCCACAGCTGCCTCATTCTGCCTGGCCCCTGGCAGCTTTGGTGAGCACAGGGAGCTGTAGGTGAGGGATGATCGCTGCCCAGCAGAGCAGCATGGCACTAGGCAGTTGGGATTTCAAGGCAGGTGGATCCCAGCTCACCCCCAGGCTGGGTCAGAGAACTGAGGCAAATGGCTACCCGAGTCAGATCAATTCGAGTCTTACCTGATTTTCTCCCGTGTCTCTCCTTAGTCCTCTCCATCTTAGTAAGCGGCAGTTACCTGCTAGACTCAAAACTAAGGCATTGTCCCCTTGCAAATCGGTGGGGGTGGGAGGGAAGTTTTAGACGAAGTAGTGCTATGCTGGAGTCTCACCCCCTTATCCCCACTTGCTCCCACAGATCCACAATGCCCCAGAACTGGCCCTGTTCTGCGAGGGCTTCTTCCTGAAGCACATGAAGGCCCTGCTAGAACAGGACTCCTTCCGGCAGCTCATCTATGGCCGCAGCAGCAAGGTGCAGGGCCTGGACCCGCTGCAGGACCTGCAGAGCACGCTGGCCAAGCGTGTGCACTCCGTGTACATCACCTCCCGGGTGTGAGGTGTGGGCTGGCTGGTCAACATGCCCAACCGGCTCTGGGCCAGGCCTCTGGCTTCGGGCACCTAGGGGTGGGAAAGGCTGGGCACAAGAGCACTGGGGGCGCCCTGGTTACAGGCCAGGCTCACGGGCTTCCATCTCCCCATCCTTCCCAGGCACCTTCGCAGGTGCTGCTTGCCTGTGGGGTGGGCAACCCCATCCTCAATCCCTCTGCCCCAGAGCTGCTGGCTCACCTAGGGATGGGTAGAGGTGGCTAAAGGTGGCCTTTATCCCCTCCTAGAGGTCAGCAGCTGCATGGGAGAGCCTGGTGGCCTCAGCTTTGGTTGCTGCTGCTGTTTTAGGGGCCAAAGCAAAGGTCAGTTTGAACCCCCAGGCCTAGATTTAGGCTGCGTCAGTGGGCTCAGGAAGCAGAGTCTTAAACCCCCAAACCCAAGTCGGGTCTCTCATGAGAGGCCTTTCATTTGGATCGGAGAGCGGTGCGCACTTCTTATTAGGTCTTAGGGATCTAAAGGGTGGGGCACTGGGGGACCTTCTGCTTTGTCCCCTCCCCCTACCTGCAGTCAGTAGGCGCCGACTCTCCTGGGGTGCAGACACAGCTCAGGTCCAGACACTGGGGAGCATTCCCGACAGCTTGCTCTGGGTGTAGCCTTCTTCAGCTGCCTGGCCGCACCTTAGAAATTATTTATTCACCAAAAGCCCCAGAGATTTCAGGAGGTGTCACTTTGGTCACCTTGAAAAGCCCCTGGGGGCTTGCAATCCTGGAAAATATTTTCAACTAGCTGCTTGAGCTGGATGTACAAAGGAAAAGGTGTTATTTTATTGCTGTAATATTGTATGATACTGTAACTATACATTAATGTCACTTATTGTAAATCTACCATGGTTTTATTAACAATAAACACTCATTAACAATGACCTTGGCCTCACTGCTCCAGGAAGAGGGATGCTCAGAGCCGGGGTGGGGAGCCTATTTAGGACCAGAAAGAAAACCCAGAGCCAATGCCTTTGTTACTCGGGGCTCCTGGCTCTGGGGGACAGGACCCTCTGCCAATAACCTCTCCCAGGACCTGAGCCTGGGGATCCCACCCCAACCACTGTGCCACTTAGCTGGACAGAAAAAGTGTCTGCGGAGGGACAGGACCTGATGGCAAAGAGCCGAGATGGCTGTTGGCTTCTCTGATCTTTCCTGACCCTGGTGTGGGAGCTGCTGTCTAAATAGTTTGTAAACCCTTGCACCGTCCAAAGCTGTGGCCCAGGGAGTTGGGGGTACTGGCCTGACAGGAGGCCTGTCCCTGGGCGGGGCCTGCATTGGGGCCCTGCTAAGCCAGAGCAGACTATACCACCTGGTAATGGAAGGACAGTGAACGGGTGACTTGGGCTCAGGTGACTTGGGCTCAGGAGTTTTTCAGAAGCTGACTGTGGTTTGTTTTAGGTACAAAGTACAGGCATAAAGGTTTTTAAAAGAATCCTTGCCTGAGGCAAAGAGACACATTCCTAAGGTCACTGGGACACTGACCCAGAGTAGCTGTGATTGTGACTGACAAGTCAGGACTTCCCAGCTGAAAGACACAAAGACCACTGCCTGGCTTTGCTGGGTGGGACCCAGGCCCTGCAGCTAGAGGCGGAACCTGAGCCTGCCCTGTGTGGGGAAGGGGCCGTGTGTGGACCCACAGCGCCCCCTGGTGGCCAAAGGGAGGAGAGACACACACACACCCCTCAGCTCCGTCTCAAGGCCGTTGGACCTCAGGCTGGTTGAGGGACTCTCCCCTGCTAGCTGTCTGGAGCAGCCACTTTCCCAAGTTCCTGCACCCCTGTAGGACACTCTCAGCCAGCCACCTGGCCTAAAAGGTGCGGTCTAGTTGCCAGCTGGCTTCAGACTAGAGGCCCAGCGGTTTCCTTTCTCTCACTCTCCAGGGACAGGTTAAAGGGAAGTTAAGGAGGGACAGGGGCCCTTCGAGACTGTGTAGCAGAACACTCTTAAGCACTTAAATTAGAAAAAAAGTACAACTACAATGGAAATGGGGTGTGCGATCACTTACCTGGTATCACACCTCCCAGTCCAGGCAAAGCAGCCATTTCTCCTCCAGCTGCCTTCCTTGGCTACTGGCCAGAATAACATGGACTCCTGAGCAGGAACGCCTGGGTAACAAGGTGCTGAGGCATCAGTTCTGTACTCGAGTCCACTGTCCTCATCCCTGAAGGAAACCCCCTCCGGAGAGGGTGCTGCATCAAGGTCCAGGCGGCAGCCCCGCACTCCTGTACTTCACTTCTTTCTGCTCCCTGCCCACCGCCACTGGCCAGGCGCCAGGTCAGCATGGCTTTCTCCCTGAACCAGCCAGGGAACCAAGAGAAAGCCTCAAGGCTGTCCCTTTCCAGCTGCCCCCACTCCCTTGCAACGACAACAGAATTGAGGAACCCCCCCCACTCCCAGTTTGATGTCTGAAATACCTTTTCAGGCCCGAGATGCCCCCGCCCCACCCCGCAGACTGGCACATGGGACTGGGTGATGCAATGGCCTCAGATAACAAGTCTACATTTTCCCAAGGTGATGGTCACTTCTTTCCTCCCCTCCCCCAGCCGCCTCGGCAGCCCCTTTGTGTCTGTCTCCTGGTCACTGAGTCCTCCGGGGCCACGGGGCCAGATGAGCAGCGGAAGCGCAGAAGCAGGCCAGCCGCAGCCCTCCCAGCTCGGAGGGATGGAGACCATTTAGGAACCTCCTTTGTTCAGCCCCCAGCCTGGCCTGGTGGCAGCATTCATCACCAGTCTAGCTGAATTCATTTTGCAAGTGAGATTGCCTGAGCCGAGCTTTACAGATGTCACTCTGTCTGGGGGCCAGATGGTAAGGTCTGGGGGATTCATGCTTTTTCAGGTTTGGAGGAGAACCCAAGATCACCACAAGTACAGAGGCTGCCTAAGAACATACTCTTGGCAAATACAAGGCCAGGACTGCAAAATGTTTGCTTCCTTTTTGACACAGAGAAGGCCTCTCAGAGAACCCCCAGAGTTTATAAGCCGTGAGCGCTCTCATGACCCGGAGCTGGCCAGGCCCAGGCGCGTGGCTGCTTCCACTCGGGTGTGGCAAGCGCCAGCCCTTGCCCAGGCTCAAGCTCAAGTGACCTCACATGTGCAGCAAACCCCGCTGTGATGGTGCCCAAGCCCAGCGATCTCCCGAGAACCTGCCGCCTAGCAGGTACTGCGCTCAGCTCCTCACGGCAGCCCTGTGACAGGTGCTGCCACCACACGTGGGCCTGCAGGGCTGGCAGGGGAAGGGAGGGGGCCAAGGCCACAGAGAGGGTCAAGGCAGAGCTAGAGTCAAACCAGGCAACCTGGAGCTAGAGATGCTGCGCCAGGGCTCGGCCCAGGCTGGGCCCTTCTGAGCCGGTGGGATGATGAGCCCGGATCACCTGAAGGCACCACGCAGCTCTGACCCTGAGGAGTCTGCTTCTGCCACACTAGGAAAATCCTCAAAAGACCCAGGCGCTCACCTGGACGCTGATCAAAAATTACTTCCATCTCCTCAGACTGCCTGCAGACTTGCCACAGGGTTTGCAGGCAGGAGCCACAGATCCAGGAGACGAAGCTCCCGCAGAGCCCCCTACTAGAGGCAGGCCATGGCAGACCAAGGTGCGGGCTGGCAGCATTTGCTCTCCTCTCACTGAACCTGGGCTAGCAGTGAGGTATTCTGGTCCTCTTTGGTCCAGAGCTCCCTTTCCTTCTCTGTCCTCACACTAGAGACCTCCGCATTACATGCCTGGGAGCCCGACCACACATTAGGTCCTAGGGAAAGTTCTGTGTGGACTCAGCAAAGAGCAGTGTTTTGAAAAACCCAGGAACACCAGTCACCAAGGCCACCATGTGAGTGCTTTGGCTAGAAACACCACTGCAGAAGGTGCACCACAGGCAGCGTGAGGATGGCCATACACTTACGCACCACAGCAGGTAGAAAGGCACATCAAACCTGGGCGCGACTGACCTGGCTCCCACCTTGAGCTGTTCTTGCACTTGATCACGTGGATAAGGAACAATCTACAGAAACCAACAGAGGGTCAAGGTGTCAACAACAGTACAGGATTTGGGACTTGGAAAGTGGATACCGTACAATATACCAAAGCACGTTTGAAGTCACCAGATCTGTCCCCTGCAGGCACCAGGGATCAAACAACCTGGAGGGAACTAGGCACAGAGAGGGGCTGGCTTCTGGCTTCAAGTCCTTGGAACAATCCACTGTGGTCAACAGTCAGTGCCTGCCACTCCCACAGGCTCCAGGGTTTTAAGCTGCACTGTTCACCTTGGCCAGGATTCCCTCATCCACCAAGGTGCTGACAGCCAGCACCCACCCTAAGAAACAGAGGGAGGTGCCACATGTACCTACGTGAAGCCAATGAGCACCCACAGGTAACAGGTCTTTTCTAGATTATTTATTAAAAATAGAGTCTCTAGCCGTCTCTTGCCCCTGCTAGCAAAAGACTTTCCCAACATTTTTTCCCAAATGGAATAATAAATTTAGAGAACTCAGACGTCATCTCTCCCGAGTCCAGAGCTGTGGTTTTATGGGACAGTGAGGCGGCAGGCCCACAGGAGCCAGGAGTGGGATGGAATAAGCAATGCCAATCCCAGCATGGCAGCCTGACTAGACTCCTGCTGCCCCAGGCCTCAGGGTGTAGGACAAGCCCATGAGCAAAGGTCCACGGTTGCCCCAACAGACTCCTGTCAGCATGGCTTCCCCAAGGAACCAAAAAAGCTGGGCCCAAAGGAAAATATGAACTCATGGGAAAGGAGCGTCTGGACTGGGAAGAGGCAGCCCCTCAGCAGTGCCAGAGGTTTGCCCAAATATCAAGTTCCAAGCAGACTCATTCAGAAGGGACACTGCCTTCAAGCCAGCTTGGCCCAGAGACTGAATTCCCGGCCAGCTCCTGGGTTTGATGGGGTTCTTGTTGCTTTTAACAGGCCAGGCTGCTGGCCAGTCCAGCAGAGACAGTTCAGAAAGGCAGAGTGGCTCCTTATAAGTCAGCGCCAAGGTCCAAGTTTCTCTCGCTATTTCTTCCGCTTCAGTTTCATATCTTTTCTGCTTTTCATCTCTCTGTTTTTCTTTAACTTTTTGTTCTGTTTGGGTTCATTTTTGGCTTCCAACTTCCTTTTCTTGTCACTGAAGGAAGAAAAGCAGGAATAGAAAGAGGAAGGATAAAATATGGCATCATACGTTTCCCTCCCACCATGCTCACCACTCAGATTACCCTGGACGCCAAACATATTATCTAGTGACCTTGACCTGAGGATAGTCCCTCATCTAAGCATGAGACTCCAAGGAAAAAAATCAGTGCTTTCTGCTGTGCTGTTGCCGTAATTTTCCTAATCAAGAGCCTCAGGGAGTAACTGGGCTGCACATTTCAGTGGGCCCTTGCTGACCTACTCGGGGATCACTCAGCAAAAGACTTTCCATCCCCCTTCCAGGTTAGATACTCCCCATCTAACTCTCTGTAACGCCGTGTCAGAGGGCACCTGGGAAATGAGGCAGCACTGATGCTGGAGCATTCGGTGGTGAGTGACAGGCAGAGAATATCCGACTGCTGGGATCCACAGCTCCCAGAGTCACAAGGTTGTCTCTTCCCAACGTTTCCAACATAAACTCTTCAGGAGACTGTCAGTAACTATGACAACGCCAAGAATGCATCCTCCACACCAACCCCATAGGTGGAGGTAGAAGCCTCATCTCCAGAGGCCCAAGGCCGGGAGGTCTCATTCGCTGCCCAAGGGAAACCACAAGAAAGGTTCTAGCCCAACTGGAACTGCTGTGTCTACAAGTGCGCTCCTGCAGCAAAGCAGCTAGAAGCCAAGGTATTCAAAGAATGACCTAGGACTCCTAGGGTTCCCAAGGGCCTCCCAGGTGGTCCCCAAGATCAAAATTATTTTCCTAGAGATACTAATACATATTTGCCCCTTTCACTTTCATTCTCTCACAAATATTCAGCTTTCCAGAGGCTACCAGACGTGCAATAGCACCACAGATTGAATGCAGAAGCAGACATCAGAATCCAGCTGCTTCCCATTATGCTAGATAGAGATTTGCAAGAATGTAAATGTGAAACAATGCCACTCTTCTATTTTATGAGAAAAGGATGTTTTTTTAAAACCACATTAAGTCCATAATATTTAATTTTGGGTAAGTTATACTATCTCAGGTTTCCCGTTCTAATAAGAGAAATGCAGATACACACAACCCACATAAAAAATGCCCTAGAGGTCCTCAATGATTTCTGTGATATAAAGGGACTCTAAGACCTGAAATCCATTGAGAACGACTGGCTCAGAGGAAGGAGTGTGGCCAGGTCCAACTCTAGCTCAGCCTTTTCTAGGCAGTACACTTCCTGGAAAAGTTACTTAACCCTCATAGCCTTGGTCACTTCAGCCTAAGCAGCTACCTCTTGCTCTGAGGGAACCAGGGCAGTGATGAAAGCCCCTGGAGAAGAGCCAAGTCAGTGGCAGCCGTGGACCATCCACTCCAGACAGTCCTCAGGGATGGCCCCGCCCAGCTCCAGACAGAGACCACAGGGAAAGCAATGGCACTCGGTGGACAGTGCCCACAATGCTCTCCTCGCTTCTGCTTTGAGGCAAGTCACCAAAGAAGCAAACAGGCCAGAAGACCTCCCTGACAGGCGTACGTTAGGTCCTCACCTTTTGAGGCTGACGATCGAGGCATTCTGCCCAGCTTTATTCAAAGCTTCATTCCACTCCTCATCATCCCCACGGATTATGTATCTTAAAAAAAAAAAAGAAGGGATCTCAAAACCTGCTTGAAAGAGGCAACTGCTTAAAAGAAAATAAAATGACAACATCCTTATCAGGCAAGTCCTGCCACAAAAGCCAGGCCAAGTTGTGTCAGCCTCTGCACAACAGAGAGAAGGGGAACAGGGGCAAAATAGGGCTGAGGTCTGTAGACAGAATTTCGCAGAACAAGGAGAATCACCAGGCCTGCCAGTGGGGGTCAGAGACAGGACAGTTCTGCATGAAAGGCAGTCCACCCAACTGCCCTCCTGATTCATTGACTACACCTCAAAAGCCTCCTGTCACCCCCTCATCTTCTTGCTCACTCCATCTCCAGACAGGAGCCTGTTAGCCCTTGAATTGGGCCTCTGCCCACCCATCTTGCCCCACTTCTTTGAATCTTGGCAAGTCCAGGTTTTGATATTGAAAAGCTGAGGGCAGATCTCAAACCCCTGCCCAGGGTCCACCTGGTCCCCTTCAGCTCATGAGTCCAACAATCACCAATGACCTGGCAACAGGACTGCAGGTCAGGAGGCCTGGAGATGACTAATCCTGAAGTCACTGTTCACATCAATCTGCAGGGCGGGGCAACACCACTCAAGCTCAGCTCAAAGAGACCTAGGATTCCGAGCAGAGCCAAGCACGCTGTTGGTGGTTTGTGGCAGCAGAATCCTTCCTTCTAATAAATGCACAGACAAAAAGCTCAACCAGAAAAGTGGCCATCAGGGCCTCCCTGGTGGCGCAGGGGGCTAGGACACAACCTATGAAACTGTCGCAGCCACTGCAGCCCAAGTTCGATCCCCTTCCAGCCAGGGAGAAACGCACATGGCGTAACAGACCTCTCCTGGCTCACCCACTGCTCCTCTCAGCAGTGTACTTAGGTCAATCTGCCTAATCTGTCCCCCGCTCTGTCTCTGGGAAATCCTCTCACTCCCCTACACCTCTGGCCTGTGTCCAGCTCTCGTATGCATAAATAAATAAATCTAAAAAAAGAAAAAAAGGGGGCCATTAGAAGTCGATGCTCATCACTCAGCCTCCTTCCAGAGGGACCAAGGCGTGACTCGGAACCCTAGGGCTCCAAAGGGCAGTGTTGATCTGGGGAAACCAAATCCGACAAGATCATGTAAACAGTGAATTACGAGGTTTTAAATATCAGTGCTGCTCAGGGTATCCTGAAAGTGATTAGAGAAACCTGCAGCTCCTGAGGGCCCAGAAGCTGAGATGGAGCCTTCGCTTCCCAGGAGTAGTGAGGGGACCTTACTGAGAGAGGTCCATGTCCTTCAGCTTCCCCACTTCTTTCTTGTGTTTCTCCTGGAATTCCTTCGCTGCTTCATCCTGCAGACAGAGTAGGTCAGAGTGAAGCCAGGGACAAAGCACAGAAGAGTGTCCCTCAAGGAGCAGACATCTTCTGCTCAGTCACCCCTCCTCTGTTAGAGGCAGCCTCACTACACACGCAAATACAAATGCCTACTCTGGAGAGTCACAAACGACATACAGGATGTTCACAACAGCGGCTGCAAGGCAGCCTGCACATACCTCAGTGGGCGGCCTGAGTCTTGAAAAAGACTCAGATGTACTCATGCACACGCGGCGCAAGCAGATGTGGGAGTGACGGGGGGGGGGGGGAGAGCCCCGAACACCTCCAAGGTGTGCATGAGTGCAAAGGACTTGTCCCAAAGGGGAAGGGGTATGTTGTGTGCTCTGACAAGGCCTCCAGGGAGCTTACCAGGTCATCACTCAGGGTCTTCATCGTGGGCTCCATCACCACATCCTTCACTGCCACCATCTGCTCCTCGATGGCCTTTTCCTGTACTTCATTAAATAGCTAGAAAAGACAATGGCCGAGAAGCAGAAGTGAAGCAACAGCAGAAACCTAGTCATTCGTTACCAAGTTACTCGGCACATGCGCTCCTGTGGTTTAGAAACACACATTTACAGCAAGAGCAGAAAAATACAAACTAGGCAGATATCACATTCCTAGCAGTGGTGTCTCTAGGAGAGAACAGGAATCATTACTGATATAGCTCAACTCCCCTATCTCTTTTGGGGGGGGGGTATGGGGGAGTGGGGGGGTGTCTGGTGTGTGTGTGGGGGGGTGTGCGCGCGTGTGCGCGCAGACCTACAACAAATACAGCCAGATGTTAGCATCTGTTCATCTTGGGGCAGGGAGCAGGTCTGTTACATTATTCCAGAGCAAAACCCTGCCCTTGGCTAGGTTTACCTTCACCACTTTGCGGATGACCCGGTTGAAAAGTCCCATTAACTGTCCCGACGGCAGCTCAATTTCCTTTTCCAGCTGGTCCACAGATTTATGCTGCAGGCCAATCCCCAAGAGAAGAGCCTGGAAGACAGAAGAGCTGCTGGAGTGGCCCCAGGGCAGGCCCATCCCTGTTAACATGATTCAGGAACCAGAGTTTTTTGACCAAAGCAATCTCGTAGAAAATGTCAACGGGCAATGACTATTTGGGAATCTTTTTCATCGTGTTACTAAAACCACCAATAACTGAAATCTGCAAACTCACTCTTCATTCTGACAAATACCTGCTTGACAACTACTTTAGAAGTGTGGGTACCCCAGACCTCTGCTAGGATAGTCAGAAGCAAGGCAATATGGAAGGAAGACAGCACATGGGCTCAAGCTGCAACTTTTCTATGTACTAACTGGATAGCAAGGCACAGGACCTTGCAGCGCGTCCTCACCAGGGAAACGGAGGCCACTGCCTATCAAAGCCACGAGGCTACATGAATAACCTTACATCAAAGTGTCCAAGCCAATACCTAGCACATAATTCGCCACACAACCCATTTTCCTTTCCAACACACATGTAGCAGGTGACCTACCGACTGCGCAGCAGACAAGGCCAGGTCCCCCAGCTGGTTGAGGAAATACATCCGGGAGATGGCCGGGATCATGTCCATGATGAGGTGATAGTCGACCATGTTCCGAGAATACATCTCCAGCCGCTTCAGATCATAGGGCAGGAAGAGTGCTTCCAGCTCCTCCCGGCGCAGGGCTATACATGCAACAGAGCCAGAGCAGTCAGGGTGGCCGGACGCCCTGGCCAGGCCTGATGGGATTCCTGGATAGGGTGCCATCTCAGGACCGTGATGTGTACCAACAGCTGCTGGTCCTCAGGACCTTAACCACAGCAGAGGTGGAAGAGCCACCTTCGTGTGCCCACCCACTGAAGCAGCACACTGCCTGGGCAGCCCTGACCTAGCGGCGCTCTGATGCACCTGCAGAGGCAGCAGGTCAGCGTGCAGCCCTTGCAAGTTCCCAAACCAGGGGAAGGCTCCCCACGCCCAGGGCTAGCAGAATACAACCACACTTCTTCCCCACTGTCACTGCTCCTCGGCACCCAGAAAGTGCGTATGCTCAGACCAGATTTTCCATCAAAGTGTAATTGGCAAGAGAAAAAGGAATATATACAAACACAATTAGCAACAGGGGGAAAACTTCACAGCTGTTAATACTAATGATCCCTTACACGTTTCTGTATTTTTAACATTCAGATGGAATTTATAAGCCCAAAGCACTTCGAAGTGTTGGCCACAGAAGGTTGGCAGTGTATTCTTATTACAGCTTCACTAATGAGGAAACTGAGCCTCAAAAGATTGAGCCAGCTCCCCCAGCTCACAGGATTTAAGTCCGCTCCATAATTAACTAGCTGCATGACCTTATTATTTGACATCTCCAAAGTCAAATCACATCCCCAAAGTCTTGTTGCGAAGCTGAAGGAGCTGTGTGTGACTGTACCCCTAAGGCACAGCAGGGCCTCCCAAGTGGGGGCGGCAGTGGAAGCCAGGACTGGAACCTGTCCTGATTACGAGCCCAGCCCGCCTCCCACTTCCATGTGGCCAGGCTGCTATCAGCCCCCGCTGCCTCCTGAAGGCCCAGCTCACCTGGCTGCTCTGCCTTCCCGATGTTCCTGTTCTGGATGATGTTCAGAGCCAGGGGAGGAGAAAAGGTGCTGAACTGGTACGACAGTAGGGCCAGGAAGCGCCTTCGGAAATCTGTGGGGTATGACCAGAGTCAGAGGTCCGGGCCCCCTGCCCACCACCTCGCTGTCCCCACTCCACTCCAACTCACCTTTCCAAAAGGCTGAGAGCCAGGCTCCCTGGTCCGCCTCGTCCTCGTCCTCGTTGGTCAGCATCTTCAGCATGATGCACGAGTGTTCTCCAGTCAGGTCGTTCTGGGAACCACACACTCCTAATTAGCATCTAGGGTACCTTTCCCAGACGTCACTGCTGAGAGCATGTGCACAAAGATGAAAGGCTCCGAGCTCCCGGCTGCCTTTCCTTCTTCCCTGGCCAGGAGACGTGCCCTCGCCTTCACATTCGCACACGGTCTCACTTCTGCACCACAGCTTCCAAAGACCAGTTTGTCCTGCAACTTCCAAGCAGGAGCCACAAAAAATGGAACAGAGCTGTCCAGGCCTTGGGAGTGGGCGACTTGCTCCTGCCAGGTCAATTCTGAACCCAGTCACTGCAGCCTAAACTCCACACCATCCAATCCACATGTTCTAGGTGTCCTACAGCAAAAACTTCCTAGCCCAAAACCCAGGCTTCCCATGCTTTGCAAGGGTCAGCTCTTCGGTGCTTTCAGCAGCAACTGTGAGTTTCCAATTTTTACCACCGGAGAGCCCCACACAAAGCCCCACACCAGCAAAACATCTGATGAATTTCAACTGAAGAGCTTTCCTATAACAAAACACCCACACTCACTAGAGCAGTGAGCAGCACGTGACTGAGGGACCCACAAGTCTACACCCCACTCAATGGCTTGCGTTCTCTTTGCTGCCAACCGCCAGATTTCTCTCATCTCCACCCAACTCAAGGACAAGGATCCAGCCTATCTACATGCTGCTCTGTGCCCCAAAACCCAGTAGTCTCCACCAGTTCCACTTTAAACTCTCAAATGGGCACTAGCTTTGACTACTGGCTTTGCGCTCTTCAAAAACCAAACATACAGTGCTCTTCCTGCTCAGCTGATGACCACTCCTCACTGAGAAAACAGAAGCAGTCACACAAGAACCTCATCCTTCCAACTCAGAATGCACCAGCAGGTGGACATCTTGGCTAATCACACTCCTGGCCTTCCTCCTGTTGTGAAGGATAGGGCAAACTGCACTCTAGGCCCCTCCCCAGCTCCCCCAAAGCCTGCCCTCCTCCAGTCAGTTCCCTCACCTGTATTATCATTTGCACGACCTCTGCAGCATCATACCATGCAGCAAACAAACGTTCTAGAATCTCCCATCTGATAAACCCACCTTAACTCCAATGTCCCAATAATCTCTCCTGCCCAAGCTCCTCCTTGAACTCCTGACCCCAAAAGTCAACTACCTACTCCTCATCTGGATATCTCACAACCATCTCACTCACACTTTGTATGCAAAAAAATAAATTCCTACTTTTCTCTCCAATTCTGTTCCTCCCTATCTGGGTAATAGCTCAGCAAACAGCGTCACCAACATCCAGTTTTCACAAACCCCTGTCTCTCAAGCCAAAAATCTAGGAATTATCCTTGATCCTCCTCATTTAATCCTAGGTGGGTTAGATCTAGTTCAACCTCCAAAACCACGTCACATCTGGCCCTCTGGCCTCACACCTCTTCTATCTTCCACCTTAAACCACGCCACCTTCCCCTCACACTCTGCCTCTCCTCCTGGACCACTATGACTCACCATCACACAGCAGCCACAGACCCTGTCTTCTATCTCTGACAGAATGGGGCAAAAATGCCAAGTCCTCACCTGGACCTCACTGCCCCTTTCCTGTTAAAGACTCTTCAGCCATGCTCCTGCTTGAGGCCTTCTGTCTCCTCACACAACCAAGTCCACATCCACCACAGGCCCTTGTGCATGCTATGTGCTCTGCTTAGCCATGCTCTTTCCCTCAGGCCTGTCACGTGACTCTTGCATTCTGATCATTCAGTGTAAAAGGCTGCCTGACCAGCTCAGAAGCTTAGCTACGCCTTACACTACAATTTCAGTGCTTGGTTTTCTTCACTATCAGTAATTTCTTACTTGTTCACCTTTTTTATTGCCTAATTCTACCCATTAGAAAATAAGCTTCATGACTTATCTTGCCCGGCACCTGAGTCACTGCGGGTGGCTAAATAGGTTTTAATGAACTGGCATCACTCTCAACTTCCCCAACAACCCTCTACATGCGGCTCATCCATACAGCTGCGGCCCTGCCGTCAGATACCAACTCTCAGTGGAATCTGCACAGTGACCCTTCCATCCTAAAACCACCCCTGAGGGCCTCGCCTACAGAAGTCCAGAATTTGATGACCAAGCCCATGTGTACCTCTGCCACACTATAGTTAAGCACAGGGCTCGCACTGCCTGGCCTTTCCTTGAGGATGGCTGCTTCAGGGGCCATTAGAATAAGCCTCCCCCAGGGGGGCACCAGAGCTCTGCGCAAGGACCAACCTGTCACCAACCACAACTGCAAACCCACACCCTCCTCTGCCAGAGGCCTCACTCACCGGGGTCTGCCTCAGGTAAACAGGAACAAACCCAGCTCGTTTCCAGAACCTGCAAATAAAGCAAGCAGGTCACCCTGCACATTTTCTGAGGAGCGGCTGACAGATAGGAAGGGCGAGGAAGAGCAGGAAGATGACAGAAGGCTGACACAAGACAGCAGCTGAAAACGCAAACTCACAGAACTTTTCATTTTCAGCACGGCCCAAGGGGGTGAGGGAGGAGGAAGAGCAGGCAAGTCCTTACTTGAGGAGCCTGGGGGTCAAGCCATAGGACACACCCAGGTAATCCAGGCGCTCAGCAGGCCTCTCATTCAATTTGAGGAGTAAAGGAGGAAGGTCTTTCCGGGGAGTGACAACCTCTTCCAACAAGCTGACGGCCTAAAGGATGCCGGGAAAGAACACAGTTCAGCCAGCAGAGAGGGAAGATGGTCAGTGACATTCCCAAACACTCCTGCCACAGCAGGCTCTGGACTGAACACAAGCTAACTAGGGAGAGGTTTCTAAGCTTGTTCACACGTTTTTTAAAATAAAGGAACACCAGGAGGTCCAGAGGTCATTCCCAAGTATGCCAAAGTCCTAAACATGCATGGACTCACACTGCTTGGAAAGGAGAATGCAGAAAAATATAGTTACAAAACCAAGATTCACTGAACCGAGGAAGGGCTCAGCAGTGGGGGCTGAAGATCCAGGTCTCTTATCGATGACTCCAGTAACAGTGACAAGCCCCCTGCACACTTCCCCAACAGGAATACAGTGAGAAGCAAATGGATGCACAGAGAGCGCCACAGTGTCTAGCACTATCGTTACGACCAAGGAGGCCAGCACCAGCCGTCCTCTGGGGTCAGCACTGAGAGGAGCTGGAAGAGCAGGGTCTTAGAGCTAGGGCGCCATCAGCACCACCCGGGAGCTTGTTAAGACACATTATGGGGGTCCCACCACAGAGCCTGATTCAGCAGGTCTGGAAGGAGGTTCAAGAATCAGTTTTTAACAAGTTTCCAGGTGATGCTGATGATATGGCCCTGAGGAACTCAACCATTAGGATGGAGAAAGCAGCAGCCTCTCCAGAACGGGAGGGAAATCAGCCGGGAGCGCCCAGACCGCCTGACAATCTTTTTTTTTCTTAAAGATTTATTTATTTTTTTATACAAGCACTGGGTACAGTCAGAAGCACCAGAGGGTGAGAGAATTCACCAGAGCCAGAGCGGGGAACAGAATAGGCAGACTGACAAAGTACACTGCTGAGGGGAGCAGCGGGTGACGCCATGTGGAACCCTCGCCCGGTGGCCGGGGATCAAACGAGCGCTGCAGAACTGCAGGCAGCTTCGCAACCCAGTGCTCAACCGCTGTGCCACCGGGGAGGCCCCACCGCCTGACAATTCTTGACGATGCGCCTGAAGACCCAGAGAAGGACCCTCCCAGCAACCAGGGGCGCAGCTTGCCCTGCAAAACAGACTTACCTCGCTGCTGACAGTATGAATTTCGTGGGATGTCTCAAGGACCTTTTCCTCGAGACAAGGGAACCTGCCCTCATAGTACATCTGCAGCAGCTGCAGAGCGCGGCTACCATAGCCCATCTGCAAGAAAACATGGCAGAAAACAGGAAAAAAGAATTTTCTCAATGTGTCCACCCACTTCTATGCCCCTGCACGTCTATGTCCCAGAAATTCTTCACTCTGGGTCAAACTGCAGCTGGCAAAGAGAACCAATAAAAATCCCTTAGTGAGGTCAAGTCATGACCCTTTAGTGTGCAGCGCGCAGCGAGCCCCTCGCCTTCACACTCTTAGCCCATCGTGAGCAGTCCACAGGGCATCTGGCAGTGCTTTCTGGTCCACAGATCAGTAAATGCAAACTGAAGGCTCTACAGCTAACTCCACAGTGGGATTTCCAGAGAAGGAAGTGATCGCAGACAGAAGATCCAGGTCACAAGTCCCCGGGTCACTTATGACCACACTTTCCACCCACCCACCCCCAGCCCAGGCCAAATTCTCCACAGCAGAGAAGTGCCGGGCTCTGCATGCTCTGATAGTTTATTTACGTAACCAAAGACACCTGCCCCATGAGCTGCCCGCAGCACTCGAGGTTTGAGAAGCCCAAAGACACGTTACCCCTTGATAATCCGGATGAACAGCAATGCGAACGACCCTTCCACCTGAAAGGCCACCAAAGTCTGGATCTTGGAACTGTGTGGGAGACACAAGCCAGCAACTTAGCAACACAAAACATCCCCTGGTAGCACCAGTTTCACTAATCAGACATGCCAAGGTAAGTGTGTCACCTGCTCTGACACTGTCCATGGAATCAGGTCCCCCGAAGCCTTCTTGCCGCGAGACAAGCTGTTCAAGATGGACTGTCGAGAAATCTCCCCCTCAAGGCACACCTATGGGGGAAACAGGACAGTGCAGGTACAGGGGCGCCCAGTACAGAGCCCGCCCACAGATCATCAGCATCCCCTGTGCCTTCAACTAGCCAGCTGCTTCTACTCCAGCTGAGGCTGAGCCCTGTAACTGCCTCGTCCATTTCCAATGGACGTTCCATTACTGTGCCCCATGGGCATCCTGACGCCCTCCTGGCCCAAAGAGTAAAAACCACACTCTGCCAAAGACAGTTCTCATGCAGTGTGCATGTGGGTACACCAATGAAGACACAGACTGCTCACACAGCTCTGTACAGAAACATGCAAATACACAATGTACATGTCTACAGGACAATGTGAACACCACACAGTGCGTACTATAATATTGCGACTATTGATACACTGCAAAAAAAAAAAATGAAAAAGCCCCTTGATACCTAAGAAATTCCCCATATCAGTGCCACAAGGACCCCTCTGCTTCCGTACCTGGATGACAGCGAGCACTTCAGGAAGGGCATTCTGGGTCGGGGGCACGGGAGGCAGAAGGCAGAAGAGATGGTGGGCAGGAGCATCAGAAAGCATCTGAAGATCATTGGGAGAGTTCTGCAGGGACACACACATGGGTCAGCGAGAACCACTCCTCAAGAGGCTACTCTGGGATCACAGGATGACTGAATACTGCCTTCCCCAAAGCCCGGGGATAAGCTGCAATCCAGCAGTGCGCCTTTCCAGCTCCTTGGCTCACCAGCCTGAGACTTCACATGGCTTACGCGGGACTTAGCGTCAAATGTTCAGTTATGTCATCATAAGTGCTAAGGCTGCAAAGCAGGGAGGAGAACTGCTTGGTTAGCACTACTTATTCCACAGCCCGGAAGGAACTTCCTCTTGATAAGAAAATCTGACACTTTTAACACCAATTGTCAGCCTCCCATTGAAGGGAGGTCACAAAACTGCTACCCAGGCACTCAGAAAGCTCCTTCCCAACATGGCCTGAAGATTTTCAAATATTCTAAATGCTCTAGCTCACTGCTCCTTAAACATAAACAGCCCAGAGGGACAAGGCTGGTCTCAGGTCAAAGAGGACCACAGGGTTACAGCTGCTGTCATCTCAGTCTATCAGTTTAGCGGAGGTAAGATATTCTAAGAACCCCTTCTAAGATGGGCAAAGCTTCCCACCCAGGACAAGTCTGAACAACAACGGGAACTGTACCCCCTCCAGCCAGACCACCGGACATGGCCGGCCTCAGAACACTCAAGTACCAGGAGAACGGTGACCCGAGCCACCAGGAAATAAAGGACGTGAAGAAAAGGCAAGTGTTGGATTTCAATGCTAAAGGTCACCCAAGGGCTAGCGGGGCAGGTACCTTGTAGTGAGAAGCCACATAGAGGGCCATGAGCCGTTGGAGGAAAACTTCGGAGGCCTTGTGGTAGCAGAAGAGAGTATCTCTGTTAACATAGTAACTGGGTCTAGAGTTAAGCAGCCAAAACAAGTCAGAGCCAGTCCAAAACAGCATGTCCTACTCCCCAGGCTGGATTTCCCTTAAGTTGGGAAGAGGAAGCCCATGCCCTAAGCAGAGACAAGTCAGGGAGGGAAGAAAAGGGAAAGTGGGATGCTTGGCTCCGCTCCCCGCCGCCCCCTGAAGGAGCAGCAGAGGCAAAGAGGCAAATCCTTTCATTAATTCTTTCATCGTGCCGTCTCCCTTTCAGGGGCAAGCGAAACACAAGAGGATACAGTTCGCAGGCTTCAGGCAAGGGGCAGCCCGACACTATCCGAGTGATGTTGAGGCAATCCAGGCACAACAAGTCATTGAGCCACTTCTCCACGGCGTCCCCGGGTGCGTACCGGATCGACTCCTGCAGGGAAACCTCGTGCAGCGTTCGCGCTGTTCCCAAGACACAGGTGCAGCAAGAAACAATGATTAAATAGGTTTTATCGAAAAGAGCAAGACAAGTGTTCTACTTTATCATTCTCACCTGGCATCCGCATAAACAATTCACACTGAGTGATTTCATGCTATTTGGGTGGCTGCTCAACACGCCATGACACCATCCCAAAGGATCTTACTAAGTCACGCAACCACGCCCTGAGACGGGGATCAATGAGAGTCTGGCCACCCGAATGCCTGGGTCAGGCTCCCAGCTGCCCCTGGCTTCTTGTTCCTCACCCCTTGGGGACTCAAGCTCTCTGAGGGCAAGAAGGTTTGGTACTACCCATGATAAAGAATCCAGCAAGAGTCTGGGGAGACTTGCTACAACCTGCAGGGCCCATTCAGAGCTCTGGGGGTACCTGAGGCCAGTCTGGCTGTTGTCGTGGTCTTGTTCTCAGCGGTGGTGCTGATCTGGCTCTGGGCACTCTGTTGGCGGAGCTGCTGGATTAGCTTGAGGGACAGTGACCGGCCAGTGCCCTCGTAACTAGGAGCAGAAACAAAGACAATTAGGCACAAGGCTGCAAATCCACTCTCTAGGAGACAAAGAACTATGTTTCTCATGCCACTGAAACCCCAGTCTCCTGCTCCTCAAGGACAGTACTGCTCACCCCTCAACTTTCAACACAGCATGTACTAGCCCAAAAGAGACGGACAGCACTGTGGCTCAGCCAGAGTCAAACGGTCTGGGCTCAAGTCCTAGTTCTATTTAACACCTCTGGGCAAGGAATATCACCTGTTAGCCTCATCCTCAAAAGAATACTATTCTACACACCTCACAGGACTGTGCCATGAACTAAAAAATTAAGGACTGGAAAGACGATGTCCAGAAAGCCTTTAGCATAATGAAACTGAAACAAAGCAAAGCGGTCAGTTAATGAGCATGGCCATTTGAAGTAACATGCTTGAAGGTATGACAGACCATTTCCAGTTTAGAAAAATCAAGATTCAACAGGTCCACCACCCCAGTAATTCTTTTCATTACTTTATTCAAAAGGTAATATAAAATAACTATGAAAAAAATTGAGAAAAAGCATAACCTGATCACTGAGTCAGCTCTGTCATTTCTCCTTATCTTGAGTTGCATAAGTGACTGGTGGGTGCAGAATGTTTGGTGGGTTTTCTTTTTTCAGGTACCATTCTTCCCTAGCACTCACCGATAGAAATATTTCCTCTTATTCAAATGTTACTTTTAAAGAATGACCCCAAAATGGCATTTATAAGTATCCTATCCCCCCCACCCCACAAAATAAAGCTTTCTCTAAAGAGTTCCATTTACTGCTTAAAAAAAAGAAAAAGAACAACAACAAAACTAAATGTTCTGTACTTCAAAGAAAATTATGAAAGTGGAAAAAAAAAGCCAGAATGGGAGGAAATTTTTGTAAAACATGTCTAATAAGGGCCTTGTATACAGTATATAAAGAACCCTTAAATTCAACAATAAAAAGACAAATAGCCCAATTAGAAAAATGAGCAGAGAGCAGAGCATCTAAATACATGTCTAAAGAAGATATACAAACAACCAAAAAGTACCTAAGACACCACACGTCAGCCATCAGGTAAATGCAAATGAAGACCACAATAAGATACCACTTCATACCCTCAAGGATGGCTAGGTCAAAAAGGACATCAATGAATAACAACAAGGAACTAAAAACTGGACATATACTATAGGTGTGGATATAAAAATGGTGCAGGTGCTTTAAAAGGCAAACAGTCTAGTGGTTCCTCAGAGTTACACAGAAGTTACCAATCAACCTTAGAATCCCACTGCTAGGTGTATACCCGAGAGAAGTGGGAGCACATCCACATAAAAACCTGAACATGAACGTTGATGCAGCATTAGTCCTAAAAGCCAAATAATGAAAACAGCCCAAATATCCATCAACAAATGAATGGAAAAACAAAGTGGATAGGGGCATACAAAACAATTCTATTTGACCATAAAAAAGCTACATGGGTGACCCTGGACACATGGTAAGTAAAAGCAGTCAGTCAGAAAAGAACACACACGGTATGAAATGTCCAGGGAAGGCAAATCTATAGATTTAGAAAATAGATTAATGGTTCCCTAAAGCTGGTGGGTAGGGAGGGACCCGAAAATGATAGTTCAAGGGTTTCTTTTTGGGATGATCAAATTGTTCTAAAACTGCAGTGATAGTTGTATAACTCTGAGTATACTGAAAGTCACTGAATCATATACTTTAAATGGATGAGTTGTATGGTATGTGAATAATATCCTAAAGAAGTTATTGCCAAAAAAAGAGACTAAAATCCATTTTACTTAAATATTTTCAGGTTAAATAATACAGTCACAATAATATATCTGTAATACAGAATTATAACTCCAAGATGTGATTTCCACACAGATAATATGCAAACCATGTTATGTTCTTGCTCAAAATGAAATATGGACAGAAAATGTACAGCAAAATTCTCTCTAGGTGGCTGAATTACTGGTAATTTTTCTTTTTTCCAACTTATCTCCAACAAGCCTGAACTAAATATTTCAATTATTTTTTTAATACTTTATTTTTTTATTGACTTATTTATTTATGCATACAAGAACTAGTGTACAGGCCAGAGGCGCGGGGCCGGGGTGGGTGGGGGTTGTGTGACAGGATTCACCAGAGACAGTGGGGAACAGAACAGGCAGACTGACTGAAATACACTGCTAAGGGGAGCAGCGGGTGAGACAGGGAAGGTTTGCTGCACCATGTGGGGAGCTCCCTGGCCAGCCGGGGATCGAACTCGGGCTGCAGAGGCTGCAGATAGCTTCACAATGCTGTACTTAACCCCTTACACCACCAGGGAGGCACTCAATTTTTTTTTTTTAAAGATTCTCAAGTGCTGATAAATTTTCTTACGACAATTATAAGTTACTTTAACACTATATTTTCACATCTTCCTAAGATATAAGACACTGATACTCACCATTCAAGTACCCTTTATGTTCTAAATAGGGCCCACTGACAGAAGGGAATAGCCCTACCTGGTTACAACTTCAGCCATGTGCGACATCCACTCACCATCAGACCACAGGCGAAATCCAGTTTAAGAAACCAGCCCCCATCAGTAGAAGCCCCAAGAGTCAGCTATCTGCCCAGGCCTCATGTGTCACCGGCCCTCTAATCCACAAGAACCTCCACTGGAACAAACGTACCCCATGCTTCCCAACCATGGAGCCTTACCCGTTGATGGTGGATGCCATGAAAACAAGGTAGGGGCCCAGTAGGCTTTTCACCAGGGGGAGAGGGATGGCGGCAGCTTCATCAATCACCACAAGTTCAGCCTGGCCCAGCTTCACAGCATCTGCAGGATGTATATACTGTGGGAAAGAAGATTAACATTGCGCTGGCCACCTACTGCCACAGCTGTGAGCACTGGTGAGGCATCGTAAAGGCCACTCTCTTCCCCTTTCACTCTCTCTCAGTCCTCCTTCCCACTTTCCCATGGTAGGGCCAAAATGGAATGGCTTGGAGACTCCTGGGCCCAAATCAGCACTGGTGTGACCCTGGAGGAAAAAGTTACCTGACGGCTGCTTGAGAAACAAATCAGGTAAAAATGTAAAAATACCAGGCCCGGGGCCTCACCCAGTGCTAACAGGTTTATCTGTCTCTCTCTTTCCCTCTCCTGTCTTCTATGCTTGTCCCACAAGAACTCTGGCATCCTTGTGCGTGCAAACAACCCCTTCCATTTCTTCACGGCCTCCTGCTATTTTTGAAACTTGCAAAAGGCCACAAAGAGATGTTTTACAGGAGAGGACACCTGAATAGGCCAATTAACACAAAGATACCGAACCCACTAGTGACCAGTGCAATGCTGGAGAGAGGAGATCCCACGTCACACACTGACAGGAAGACTTAAAATAGCACAAAACACTCAGTGTTGGGAAGGATTTGGGGAAACAAAAACAACAACAAAAGTTCTTGTGTAAAGGTAAGTCAGAACAAACACTTTAAAGGAGAATTTGGCAAAATTCAAGAAAGCTGGAAAACCCAACAATTCCACTTTTAGAAACATAAATAAACTGTAGGCTATGGTGCTTAAAATCAGGAGATCTACAAGCTTCAGTTGGGACAAATTTTGAAAATAAATATGGAGTTAAAAAAAGGCAAAGCGAAAAAGGACTATAGTATGTTACCATTTGTGGACACATAATTATGTAGTAAAATATAAACACCTGAACTGAACAGAAACACACCAGTCTCAGAGCTAGGTCACCTATGGGGAATGACAGAAGGAAATGGGATAAGGAGGGGTTTGCAAGAGGGACTTCAAGCATGTCTGTGACGTTTTACATCTCCAAAACAAAAACTTATGAAACATGAAACACTGGAAAAACCAAATGCCAACATTTCTTTTTTTTTTTAAAGATTTTTTTTTTTAATAGAGGCATGTTTTTATTTATTTATTTGTTTGCTTGTTTGTTTGTTTTGTTTATACATGCACTGGGTACAGTCAGAAGCGCGGGAGGGTGAGAGAATTCACCAGAGCCAGAGCGGGGAGCAGAACAGGCAGACCAACGAAGTACACTGCTGAGGGGAGCAGAGGGCGGCAGGGGAGGTCTGCGCACCATGTGGGACCCTCCTCCGGTGGCCAGGGAGCAGCCGGGGATTGACCGGCGCCGCAGAGGCCGCGGGCAGCTTCGCAACCCAGCGCTCTACCGCTGAGCCACCGGGGAGGCCCCCCAACATTTCTTAAACTGAGCGGTAGACATCTGAGTGTTGTATTGGTCTCTATTGTTCTGTACATTTGAAGTATTTCATTATAATAAGACTTTTAACTGCTTTGCCAGAAGTTGAGTGGTCAGAGAGACAGTGACCTCACTCACTGCTAACAGCAGGATGCACAGCCTCGATAGGGTCTCATGTCTTGGATTGTTAAAGGAAAAAACTAAACAGCACCTCATAAAAGCAGCAGAAACCAGCCCTCTGGAGAAGGCATGGGAGACTTGAATATTCTTTTTCTCAATTTCCAACAAGAAGGAAGAGGCCTCAAAAGGGAAATAAATGAAGCCTCATAAAGTCAGGTCGCCTTCTCTATGCTTGAACTCCAGTCTGGAGACAAATGGACCCTGGGAATACGAAAGGGTCTCTGATTACAAGTTCAACGAGCAGCAAGAGCTGAGCCAGGGAATTTCAGGCAAAAGGTTTCCATCTTAGGCTTTTTCTTTAGTTCTAGCAGGTCTCTATATTCGCACTGCCCGCAGTCTGCCCTCCACCCCACCATACACTCCAACTTCAGTCTTTCCACTTTTGTGCTGAGGGACTAAAGCAAAAGTGGAAAGAAATGTACAAAATGAGGAGATTCTAGAAAGACATAGTAAGGAAAAAAGATTCTTGAGGTAAAAAGGCTTAACATCATTTATAATCTGAACTCTATGATAAAAGGAATACCTCCCTGATGGGCATAAAATCATTCTGGCTACAGAGGACTGGAAGTTTATAGAGCTTTTGGGTAACACTGTCAAAAAAAAGGAAAATGGGCCACTGACTAAACCACAAAGATTGGAAGTACATTTTACAAAGTTCTCTTTTCCTTTTAAATGGCAAAGTTCTTGTTCTAGTCTCAGATGCACCATTTCAAAACCTGCAGTAACCAAAAGAAGTAAGAGTTGAGGTCAGAACAGTGGGTAGATTTCTTTTAGCTCATTAGCACGCTCACAACCCCACTTATTCAATTTTCAAGGGTCAGCTTTCTGGCTGCATATTATTCCTTTGCCTGAATGTTTTTCTTTAGGATGAGGCTGAAAATCTGGAACAAGTTCATCATAAATCAACAACACTTTAACAGACATGCAATTACACAGGACACAAAATGACTATGAAAAAACCTCCTTCGTATCATTTAAATCTATCAGGACAATGGCCCCCATGGCAGAGTTTTAGACAAACCTCACCTGAATAGTCTGCCTGTGTTCCCGGAAAACATTCACTCTGATCACTGCTTTGTTAAATTCTGGATTTAGAGACTGAATAATCTCATAATCTAGATGCTCCTGATGAGAAAAGAGACAAAACAATGACAAACTTCAGGAACAAGCTTTAGAAACTAAATGTGAATAAACTAAGCAGGCATGCTAAAGATTTCCTCTGGATTTAAACCCAGCACTGAATCAAAATAAATTCTTATTCTAATGTCCTACCTGATACTGCAGGGCATCAAATCCTTTAAACACAAATTCAAACAGAGTGTGGAGGTTGTCTGGGCTGGGGGAGGTAACAAAGATATTGGAGTACCTATGGAACCAAAGAGGAAAGTTTTTTAAATTAGTAAATCTAACAAATGTTTAGAGAACTTAAAAAAAGAAAACATTTTTGTTTGCCCCTATCACACCAGTGAAACAAAGTCCTAACACTTTTTGGGAGGAAAGTAAAGAAAAGCCAGACCTGAGTTTATTTTTCCTCCCAGACTCATGAAACCACATTAATGACTTGAGGGAAGCACATCCCCGCAATCAGCTACCGACAGCTCTGTCATCACGCCACCCAGGCTCTGTCTGCGCCAACAAGCCGTCAGCACGCAGAACTGGCCTGCTGCTCCCCAACCTGCGTCCTGGCACAACAGGCACAGCTCCCCATTCATCACCAGGGTGCTGAGAGGGTTTCAAACTGTGAAGCCAGACAGCTCTCCACCAGTGGTCAAGCCAAGGCCAGAGTGAACCTCCAAGGTATCCTTGCCCAGTCACTGAAATTCCCTGAGCTTAGGTTCATCCGTCTATGAAATGTACAAGGAGCTGTTAGGAACACCAAGGAGCTACTACTGCACATAGAGAAGGAGGTACATTCTAAATACATCAGATATGCCCGCAAAGTCAGAAGCATGGACTCCAAGGGAGTTGTATAAACCTTCCACCCAGGGCAAAAGAACGGAAAGTAACATCACATTCCAAAGCTGCACCTCAGAGGCAAACAAGATCTTTGATTGATCGAAATCATTAAAAATGTCAAACCTGTACTTTTTGTCAAACCTGTACTTTTGTCAGCAAAGCTGCCCATATACATTCTCATCTCAGGAGTTTTAGAGTTTCTTACCCCCTTTCTTTGCTTTTGCATGTTTGTTCAATCTTTAAAAAGTGATCACAAAGGCCCCAGGGGTGTGTTTGTGAATGTGTGCATGTGTCCACACACATTCGTGTGCACCTCTAGGAGGGGGCTGGGGGAACAGCATTGCTGCTTTCATCCAGAAACCCACGCCCCTAGAGATCTCACACCAGGAGCCCCCACACTTAGGAAAGGTCTCCGCATACTGCTCCTACCCCCGCATACAGTTCCCGTAGAGCCCAGAGTTCCTAAAGGTGGGGTGTCAGACCCCCTTACCCAAAAGCCACCGCTCCGGCAATAGCCAGCCCCAGGGCAGCAGACTTGCCCCTTCCTCGGGCCGCTGTGAGCGCAACAGTGCTCCTCAGGGTCTTTTCAGAGATCCCCTCAATGAATTTCAAGACAGCCTTGGCCTGTGGAAAGAAAAACACTGCATTAGGTAGCTCCCGGAAGGCCAACTGTGAACCGTTTGCCACCACCAGGGGGGAGAAGCCAGATGACACCAAGTCTAAATAAAAAGGCGGGGGTTTTTTTAACCCCAGTTAAAGAATAATTCACTTCCAGCATCATTTTAGTTTCACCTGAAACTGTATACATGGCAAAATGGCCATCACAATAGGTCTCTTCACTATCTTTTCGCAGAAACTTTGCAACCTGCAATAAATACCATGTCACCGAACAGCCTCCCGGCTGTGCACCCGAACTCCTTGACGACTCTGCTGTGTACCTGGAAGTGGCGCCTCTCAGTCCAGGACAGCTCAAGCCGCTGAAAGCCAGCTCAGTACTTGGGCTTCTACCTCCTGGGTCAGCTCCTCCTAGCCTGAGGCTTTAAATACCAGTCAGCTGTGGCTCGCCCCCCACTCACATCTTCACTGAAGATCACGCCATCACACCAGACTCTCATTCGCACAATTGCACGTTGCCCTCGTACCTCTAACAGCTCAAGCTCAAAACCAAACACCTGATGACCCCCCCAACAGGCACCAGATACCCTCCCCCATCTCTACCCAATTAGGTCAAAAGTCTTCTCTGCTTCAGCCCAGACCTGAATCACCAACAAATTCTGCCAGTGATCTGTTCAAAACAAAATCCTCCATTCCTCACCACTGTCCTCCTGTCTCTCTGGAGGAAGCAAACATCCTGTTCCGCTTCCATTATTCCAGTAGGCTCCTAATTAATTTTTCTGCTTCCCCTTCCACTGCCTTACGGTCTAAATTCAACAGAACAGCCAGAAGGATCCTTTAAAATTAAGCCAGGGTCTTTCTGGCAGCTGTGCTGAGAAGAGCCCCTAAACATAAACTCCCCCACGTGCCCCTGCCCCGCACGGAGTAAGTGCCAGCGTCCCTCCAGGAGCCTAAGTGGCCCTGTGCCCACCCCCAACCCCCATGTTTTCCTCTCCGCCTCTCCTGCTCTAGCCCAACCTCCTGGCTAGTCCTCACACACACCAGGGAGACGCCTGCCGCAGACCTACATGCTTGCTGACCTCTCTGCCAGAAGTACTCTCCCTCCAAGAGCCACATGGCACATTTCCTCAATTCCCGCAAGTGTTAGCTCAAACATCTCTTTTAAATGAGGCTTCTGTCATCACCATCCAGAACCCCAGCAAGCCATCCTCCCCTGGTACTCCCTAGTGCCTCCCCTTTTGCTCCTCTGAAAGCTTCTCCATCATATCTAGCACCTTCTACTACCCATGTGATGTGGTTATTTCCTTGATCCACAGGCTTTTCCCACCAGAATGGGGGGACAAGCTTCACGAAGCAGCTGGTATCCTTTTTTACTGCTGAGCCCAGTGCTGAGAGGAATGCCTGGCACCCATGAGGGGGAGTAAGATGCCAGCAGCACGGAATGAGGAGGAAGCACAACACTACTCGGGGGGGCCAACCTCTGCTCCCCCAGGGGCTCTACACCAGGACATTGAAACTGGGATGGTCGGGCCTGGCCTGTCCGTGAAGTGTTTCCTTACACATGCAGCATGCAGAGGTGACGCGAAACCATGCAGAGACGCAGGTCCAGGTAGAGGAAGGAAAGGAAGCAGAGGGGCTTCAGGAAGTCAGTCTTTCCAGGTGGAAACACTCAGAGGGGAAATGCTCAGAGGGGATTAAACCTACTTGCTTTGTTAGCCTTTGCTGAAGGCTTTGTTTTACCCTTTTTGTTTCTTCCCTTAGGGTACAGAAGTTACAAAATCTGATAAATTGTAACTAGAAAAACTGCACTGACAAAACAAATGCACAATATCTAAAAATGCATTCTAAACTGAAATTCTAAACCAATTCTAAACCATTCTAAACCAATGCAAAAAAGGAGACCGGTCTATTAAAAAAATATCAAAAACAGATGACCGATAACTCTATGAAAAAGGTACCTGATTCTCTCATAACTAAAGCAACAAAATTGGGGGAAGAATATAAAGTAACACAAATTAAAACAGAAATCCTACGTTCCCCATCAGATGGGTATAGACTTAGAAATTTAATGGTATCCAGTGTCGAAAGGCTGCAGGGAAGAAGTTTGTAGGGTAAGGTAAAAGTATCAGGCTTTTCTGCCCTCCCGCCATTAGGATAGATGACAGATCTGCGGTCCTGAATGCATGCCTGATGGCGGGCACCTGGAATAGGGTGTGGGCATAAGTAGATGGGATTCACCTGGACTAAGACTGGGCTTTTAAGGGCAGCGTCATGGGGACGCCAGCAGAAGCAGAGAAGCAGAACAAACGGGAGAGAAGTAGAGAGAACGCAAGAGAACACTGGAGAGCCCAGAAAAAGTGAAGACTTGCTGGGGGCTGGGAGGTCTGCCAGCCTCCCAGCCCCCCAGCACCCCTGCCTGCTGTGTACCTGGTAAATCCCAATAAAAGCCTGCAAAAGCCACTGAGGGTTCCAGGATTCTCTCACTCCTCCTTTACCCAGTCTGCTGGGATCACAGAAAACCTGCTCCGTGGACATTCCTGCCCCTACAAGTTTCACACACTATCAGTGGATCCACAAACTAAAACAAGACTCATTTTAACATACACACTTGCAGGGTAAGTAATGGTCAGGCTTTTACGCCACTGGCCTCTGTGGCTATAACCTGCAGCCTTGAGTGCAGAAGACGCTTGGGAATGTGGGCACAGGGCACGCATGCCCGATGGTGGACACCTGGAGTATGGTGTGGGCACACCTGAGTCTGGAGGCTGGGGCAATAAGGATGGGTCACTCAGAAAATGGCTACAGTGAACAGGCCACCTCTCAAGAGGACGAGATAAGCTGTGAGAAGAGACCACAAGAGAACGCCAGAGAGAGCCCAAAGAAAGAGTAAAGATTTGCCAGGGGCTGGGAGGCCTGCCATCCCGGTTCCCTGCCCTCCCTGCTTTGCCAGCCTGCAGGCCTGCTCCACAACAACTGGCATAGAAAGAGCATTAAAGCCTGAAAAAGCCACTGAGGCCTCCAGGAATCTTCTTTACCCATCTGCTCGAACTGATAGAGAACCTGTCCTGTGCATGCTTGCACAACACCCTCACCCAGCAACTCTGGCAACGCATCCTGGAGACCACGCCCGCGCACGTACCTGCAAGAGCATCCAAACAGCACAGCACTGATTAACACAGCAGGAACGACGGGATCAACCCAAATGTCTAAAGGGACCAGTGCCCCGCCCAGCGTGACTCCTCTGCATATTGAAAACACGCCCCTTCACGGGCACAGAAGGAGCTGCCGGACTCACAACAGAGGAGATGCTCCCGTGTGCAGCGCCAAGTGGAAAGGCCACTTTCGACTCCTAATCCATGCTGACAGATGTGGGTTTTTTGTTTGTGCTGTTTTTTGCCGTGGGCCATCTTGCCCGCTGTATTTCTATTACTTTATTTACTTAGATTCTGGTGCGCTATAATTGACCCAGGACACATTTGTTTCAAGAGCGCCACACAATGACTGCAAAATGACCACCACCCTCAGTCTAGTTAATAATCGTCACCACACACCACACACAGTCACAAATTTTTCCTTCACTGTGGTCCTTTGTTTAGTTTTTAACATTACCATTGGTTTTGTAGTTTCTCCCTCTTCCACCCTTTCCCCTCCCTCTCTGTCATCCCACCCCCTGGAGAGAAAACGGATACCAGCGAGTATTCAAGGCCTGGGCTGCAGAGGGCGCTCTGGAGCTAGAGAGTCTCCTCCCAGAATGAAAAGGGAACCCAGCCTGCAGACACTCAGGGCCGCATGGAGGCATTTACCGTAGCTGTTCCAGCAGGAGGGCAGGGCCCAGCACCACAGGGCCAGTGCTGCTGCTCAGGCTCAGACAGGACAGAACCGTGAACACGCCTGACAGCTCGAAGGCCACTGGGGCAGGCCCAGTCAGCTCCAGCATAGCCCAGGAGACACTGGAGAAGCCAAGTTTACTGGCCCTGGGCGCCTCCAGGAGCACAAAATGGCAAACTGGCAGCTCTAACCAGCCTGTGTGCACAACACCCAGAGGGCCCTGAGCACACCTCTCGCTGGAACCAAGAAAGAACAAGAGGCCTGAAGCCAGCCTCTCTACAAAGCTTACACACAAACCTTCATGGTACGAAAACAACTAAAATGAAAGAACGCAGATACACCACCTTCTCTGGGAAAAGGGCCAGGGGATGCTCTTTAAACTCAACCTGCAGCTCTCTGAACTATTAACTCAGAGTGGAGAGGGGACGTGCTGGACTTCTGTGCTGAGCGCTGAGCAGCCTTGCTGGAGCTGCACATGTTGAGTGCTATGAAAAGGCCTTTCCCCAGGGAGGAGCCAGTCTTGACCCATCCTAACTCAGCCCATACTGCGTGCTGCACATGCGTGTCCCCCTGCAATGTTTGCACCGAGTGGGAGGCATTGAGGCCACTCACCTGGTCGAGGGTCTTACAGCAGTCCACGAGCACGCCCACAGGCTGGGTGTCCTGCAAGCTCTCCTTCAACTCTCTCAGCTCCAGCTCTGAAGGACCGAGACTCTCATCCTACCAGAGAGGAAAGGAGGGGAAGGTTTGCCACGGGAGAGTCAATACAGAAAGCGCGGCCTCCCCCAGGCTACCCAACCCCTGGCAGACTCACAGGGGTCTGGGGAGGTAGGGCCTCAATGCTGGCAGCGTGGGAGGAGATGGGCAGGATGCTGAGCTGGTCGTCGATGACAAGACACTTCTTACAAGAGGCCAGAGAGAGAATAAATCTGAGGAACAAACCACCACAATGAGGAATTGGGTGGGGACCCAATGTCTACACAAGCAAAAAATCATTTGGAAAATCATTTGGCCCAAACACTTCTAAAGGAGCAGAGAAAGAGTGGGGTGACGGAGTCTCCTTTGCAAGGTCCCTGCATAAGCTTTTACAGCAACAAGGAAACCAAAACTCTCTTGAGCCTGATCACACACACACCCCTCCTGTGTATCTCCACCATTCCCCAAGTCATCTGGCCCTGCCCATGGCCTCCCCTAGGCTCACCTGTCAGCATTAAGGTGGGTCAGGCTATCCTTAGGTGGGGAATTCCAAACCCACCCCTCAGGATCGCCAGTCACACAAGAAAACAAACACAAATGGACAGACCTTCTGTCATAAGGGGAAAAAAAGTAAAAGAAAAAAGAGGAACTCTCCCTTAAGAAACATAAATGTTCCTGGGTATAGAAAAGCCTGTTTCGCTATAGATTTCAAACTCCTTCCCAACAGCAAGGAAAGGGCCTCATGCACCATTTCCAGCCTTGGTTCCATGGGGTAGCACAGCAGCCTCCAGCCTGATCCTTCTCCTGAGTAAGCGCAGCAGAGATGGTTAACATCAGAAAGGTCCCGGGCAGATTTCTAAACCTAGCACTGCAGACATTCCAGGCCAGATGATTCCTTGCTGAGGGGCTGTTCTGAGCATTCCAAGCAGTTTAGCAGCATCCCTGGCCTCAACCCACTAGATGCCTGCAGCATCCCCCTCCAACCCAAGTCGTGATGATCAAAACACGTCCAGACATTGCCAAGTGGCCCCAGGGGCAAAATCACTCCCTTGAGAACCACAGTTTCTAAGATCTTTCACGGACCACTAACTGGTCTTTCCTAAAAAGAGCTTTGCAGTCAAGTTGATTTGGGAAACAATCAAAATGATCCCTGCTGCTGCAAGACTTTTCAGAGGCTACAAGAGACTAATGTCAATCATCATAAGGAAAAAAGAGTAATGGTGTTTCTCAGGCATATTTGGCCAGGAAACCCTTGTGCTAAAGTTCTTATCACAGCAATACTGTTCTAGGAAGCAGTGATGCAGACCTATCATCCTCTGACAGGCGACTGAGCTACGCGCTAGAGGGAGACATGGAGAAGGCACAAACAGACAGAGCTGGTCTCCTGGCCCTAGCTCTCCATTCATGTCCACTGTTCCCACTTAGCTTCTCAAGTATCCCTCCAACCGCCAAGGCTTTCCTTATGGGCCACTGCACAACCTTATGGACCACTGCACAACCTTCCCTCACACAGAAGCAGATAGTGGTTGGGTTCAAGCTCAAAATATTCCTCCCACTGTGGTTCTCCACAATGAAGGGGCTGAGATGTGCTACAAACCCACCTCTCGTTAAATCTTCCCACCACATCCTGATGGGCCTCGGTCCTGTATCTTGAATGCACATCCTGAAAGAGACAACACCCATTAGCAGAGGCATCCAGTGTCGGCACTCAGCAAAGGAGGCCCAGGGAAGTGAAATCCACTCCAACAAAACCTGCTGTGCCAAAGTGGCCCAGGGCTCCCTGCTGGAACTGAAGCAGGTAGCAAATGTAATGGCTCCTGTTACAGCCAATTTCCCCTTACTTCATCTCTTGAGTTTTTCTACCTTTTAACCAGCATCATAAAATGGATTTCTGCCCAGGTCAGTGCCAGGCATGCTGGGTATACTCTTCCAGGGTCTGGGAAAATACCAGCAAGGAACACAAGTTCCTGCTCCCGTGGAATTTAGAAACTACCACAGGAAGACAGACAATAAACAAATATGTAACTTTAGATCAAATGCTCTGAAGAAGAAAAAAAGTCAGGTTAAAGAGTGACAGGCAGAACCATCTAATCTGAATAGAGTGTGAGAGAGACCACACTGTCAAGGTGACATCGAACAGGGCCTCAAATGCAGTGAGGAAGTCAGCCATGTAGATATTCCCTTGGGAACAGCTAGTGCAAAGGCCCTGAGTGTAGCATGTGCTGGGCACGTCTGAGGACCTCTGAGGAGGCCATAGGGACTATAGCAACAATGATGACATGTGGGGTGGGGTCAAACAGGTACTAAGAGTTGAAGAAAGCCCATTTTACCAGATGAACACAGTTCACAACACCCTGAGGCCAATATTAATGCCATTCTTGAGCAGTTGGGCCTTGGGCATGATGACTCAAAACCTGTCTCATGGAAGTTCCACATGGCAATTAGAATATTGCCATTCCACACTCCATTAGAATATGGAGTCCTGGGCCTTCCTGGTGGCGCAGCGGTTGAGTGCTGGGTCCGCAGCCTCTGCAGGGCCGGTTTGTTCCCCGGCCGCCGGGCGAGGGTCCCACATGGCGGGCAGACCTCTTCTGCCGCCCGGTGTTCCCCTCAGCAGTGTATCGTCAGTCTGCCTGTTCTGTTCTCCGCTCTGGCTCTGGTGAATTCCCTCACTCTCCCGCGCTTCTGACTGTACCCAGTGCTTGTATAAATAAATAAACAAACCAAAAAAAAAAAAAAAAAGAATATGGAGTCTGAGAACAGCTTTGCATCCAGGGACACATGCATTGTTCTAACCATGTCCTCAGCTTTGGGAGAAAACTTCTCCACCCAGAATTGAAGTTCTTGCCAAACCAGGAACGGCATGAGCAATGCTACATCATTACCCACTCGGATGAGGGCCAGTGAGGAAGTCCGTACCTGGTCCCTCTTTGCAATATACAAATTTGCACTGGCACGACTCTGCAGAATACCATTTCTGAAACTGAATGAAATAACAGCTGCATCATCTTTGAATCTCACAGGAGTAAGATTTGCAAATATCTGAAAGCAAATGCAAAACTCAGGGCCACAGAGATTTCTCAGCAATGTCTTTGTCATTGGTTTTAGTCAGAGAGTTCCCAGTCCACAGGTGCTCAACAAGAATTCATAAAAGAAAACGAGCCACAGCAAAAACACAGATTGATTTGAAGCCCCACAACTAAATTAAAAAGCAGACACTCACCATGGTCATCGTGTACAGCTGCTTGAGTGAATTCATGGTCCGCAGGAGGATAACCACCAGTCCCCCACCTTCTACCGTCTCTACAGTCCTGGCCAGTAAGTTTGGAGTTAAGGCTTCAAAGTCCTGGAAAAAGGACAACTTAGAAAAGGATGGTCATGCCAAGAAGCCTAACCAAGGGCCCAGGACTTCAGAACACAAAATGAAGACCAACTCCTATCTCACAGGGCTCTCCTCAGCCCCCACGAGAGCCCAGCCCTGGAGAATAGCTGTACCTGGCTTTATAAGTCAAAGCATTTCTCATAATCTGAGAAAATCCTATGTGGAAAGATGTCCTCCAATCTTCACTGATTCACACTTGAATTTCAGAAATATCTCAAATTCATTTTCTGACATGTCTATAGTTTGAACCTGCCTGACAAAACTCATCTGCACCACACGGGGGAGCTACCACTTAAAGAAACCATCATCACTGCAACTGTCAACAGGGGTCACAGAAATACTCCCTGTGACCAGAGGAGAGTGGGGCACAAAGTTCTTTTCTGGTTTTAGAACATCTAGTCACAATATCTCCTCTCATTTCTTAGTTTACATACATATTGTAAGGTATGATTCTAAAATTTAGGTAACTGCAGGCATCATTGTACATGCTTATAATACAAACACATCAAGATTGATGCCTAAGCGTCTGGGGGGGAGTCACAGGTATCAAGAATCAAAGATCGCTAGAACTCAAAACAAAAAAAAAAAATGTGAAAGTCTATTAAATTGCCAGGCAAGAGAAGTGACACCAGTAAAGAAATTTACCAAGTAGTTCTCTTCTGAGGGGAAAAAGTGGGGAGAAGGGTTATACTAATCAAGCACTCTGTATAGGACATGAGTGCACAAGTCTGTGCCCAACGAAGACTTTGGTTAGTTCTACTAAGACTTTGGTTAGTTCTACTAAGGGGTCCTAAGGTAAGTAGAAGTTCATGCTGCTAAATTTATCAGCTTTAGGATCTCTAAGCAAGGGAATTATCAAATTTCCTTTGGAAAGTGACCAAACCTCCCACAGGTAATGCTTGGGGGGGAGAGGGAGGATTGTGAATCATCTCTCTTTATTGTACACTGTTCTTGTGGGAAACCAAGCAGCCCAAGCACACCTCAATGCCCTGGCTCCAGGCACAGGCTGGAGAAGTCACCCACCTGGAGAACACACATGCCAAAGGTATTGCCCAGGATCTTGTGGGTCTCGTTGTAGTAGCAGTAGCGTATGTTTGTGGCCGCTACGAAGAGTTCAAAGGGGTCATCTTGCTTTATGTTCAATGTTCCATTCTTGATTTTTTTCTGTAGCTGTCGCATTCTTTTCTTCCTGTGACTGCAATCACCCCCCACCCCCACAATCCCCGGAGAGTCAGTTAACCAGTAAGGCTGAAGAGTCGGGAGCAGGGGACAGGCTCAATGATCACCCACTTAGACCTTCAGAGCTAGAAGAAATCTTGGAAATTGTGTGGCCAACACCTCACTTTAAGAGGGAAGACAACCAGAGAGGATTTGAGCAGAGCAGTTTAAAAAGATAGGCTTTGGAGGGAGAGAGTATTAAGTCTCTGTGTGAACCCTGCTTTTCTGTCACCTGCTACAGATACTTCACTTTAAAAGAAGGGTAAGGATAGGACCAAAGCCTCACAGAGCCAGAGCTTGAAACCAAACTAAGTGGCCTCATTATCTGAGACTCAAGTCAAAGATTCAATGACATGGTGCCGCTCCCCAGGTGATCTGGAAAGGGCAGGGTGACAGCAGGTTACTTTATTCATTTGTTCTAAATTCATCCACCTCCTTCCCTAGACTGCGCAGTTCTGTTCTCCAGGGAAGCTCTACACTATGACAATACTTACACAGGATACCAGGGCTAGAATGAAATCTGGACATCTCTCAGGAATTGCTGAATGGCTGTTTTGACACCCCAAATATATAACTATCATTTACCTCTTTCTTTTGCAGAAAGTGAAAACAAGAAAGCTCCAGAATTGAGTATTAGAGCAAATCAAAATTTTACCATAGTTCTCTAGTGAATAGCTAGAACCAAGGAGAAGGGGGGAGAAAAACTGTTGCATTTGACATTAGGTTAATGATGACTTTCAGTGGCAAAACTTGGTTAAAAGGGAAAGTCAGACAGCAAAGAGGGTGGCTAGAAAGTGCAAAAGGCTTCTGTTTCAAAGTGTTTGGCAGGGCCTCCCTGGTGGCACAAGGAGTTAAGTCATAGCACTATGGAGCTATCCACAGCCACTGCAGCACAGCACGATTCGATCCCCGGTCGGCCAGGAAGCTGACCCACAAGGCACAGCAGACCTCTCCTGTCCCGCCTGCCGCTCCCCTCAGCAGTGTATTTCAGTAGATCTGCCTCTTCTGTTGCCCACTCTGTCTCTAGTGAGTGACACTTCTGGCCTGTACCCTCACTCCCCACACTTCTGGCCTGTACCCCAGTTCTTGTATGCACAAATAAATAAATCTTAAAAAACAAAAACAAAGTGTTTGGCAATAAAAATAAGAGAAAATGCTAACCTGAGTAATAAAGCTGGCTATGTAGGTAGTCACTTGGAGAGGGTGGGGGATAGAAAGTTGAGCACATTTACAGGGAAAAGGAGAAAGTTTCAATGGAGAGTGGAGTGGTCAGCACAGGGAAAGCGGTAAAGCTCCTGAAGAAGGGAGAGAAGAGACCCAGAGTACAGAGAGGGATTGGCTTTGGACAGGGGGATGAGACACAGCTTCCTCAGAAACAAAATGTTAAAAAAAAAAAAAAGAGTGAAGACGTAAATTTGAGGGAGGGAGTGGCAATTTAAGGAACTTGCATTAGACAGGGTTACTCAGTTTTAAAAGGAAGAAAAATATTACAGAGAAAGCCAGGAATTGGGTTGGGAATTTAATGAATAGAATTTGAAACTTATTGTCAGGAATGAAGAAAGGACATCGGCTCTAACTGTTTTTCAACTTGAAAGTGTCCTCAGACACAGAAGCTCCATAAAAGAGCCCTGTAACACTGTGTCAAGGAATCACTTCCTGGCATTTAACTAATGAGGAGGAATTGTAAATGGTGTGGGAGACTCACAGGGCCAAGCTCACCTGCTAAAGCCCAGCTCTTTCTTGTAGCACCACAGCACTGAAGGTCGAGCCTTCACAGTTGCTTTGGACAACATGTGATGAAGAATGACCACCTGTCAAAGGAAAAAAAAAAAATCACAGAGGGCCTCCCCGGTGGCACAGCGGTTGAGCGCTGGGTTGCGAAGCTGCCAGCAGCTTCTGCAGCACCGGTTCAATCCCCAGCTGCTCCCCGGCCACCGGAGGAGGGACCCACATGGTGCGCAGACCTCTCCTGCCGCCCGCTGCTCCCCTCAGCGGTATACTTTGGTCCTTCTGCCTGCTCTGCTCCCCGCTCTGGTGAATTCTCTCACCCTCCCGCGCTTCTGACTGTACCCAGTGCTCGTATAAATAAATAAATCTTTAAAATAAAAAAAAAAAAAAATCACAGAATCTCAGACAATGACCTCATTTGAGAAATGTGGAGACTAAACTGAGGGCCGGTGAAAGGAAGTGCCCAAGATCACAAGGAAAGTAGTGACCAGGGTGGTGTTAAAAACGGGGACACATCTACTAAGGCTTGTGCTCAGTCCAACTGAATCATAAAAAACTGTTAACTTCTCTGCTAAAATTCTAAATGCAGACGCTTTATCACTTCCAAATGCAAAGGAAGGTTCTCTCTAGGTATTTTAATATAAAAGAAAGCCAGCGAAAGGGACCTTAATGTAATTATGTGCCAAACCCCCCAGAGGTCCCATAATGTGAGGATTCTTTGCAACAGGACACAGTTACCAAATCTTACCTGGTCCTTTCCCCGATCTCCAACTACAACAAATAGAGATCTTTGCCGCTCAGCTACCCCATTCTCAATGAGAATGCGGATCCGGTTATCTACTTTCTTCCGATGCATGATGGAAGACTATCACTAAAACAAAAAGAAAAGAAACAACTAGACATGAACACCAAATTCTGGGAGAACAATATTAGTAGGCTTCCTCCTGTGAAGCCAGAGCTGTTAGGCATATTTATATGCATAATCTCACTTAACTTTCAAATATCTCTCCAGGAAAGGCATCAATCTCATTTTCAAAACTAGGAAACAGGCTTTTGAGATGAAAAAAAAAAAATGTTCCCTCAAAATGGGAAGTCACCTCTACTGAGATGTTTTTTAAATAGGAAACGATGTTTTAAAAAGTAGATTAAAAAATATAATGCGTTATCTGTAAGATATTAAGACATTTTTCAAAAATATTTTCAAAAATTGTGGCTACAGATGTTTATGAGGTGATGTGGGAAGCTAAAGTATGACACCATTTTTTATACACATACATAACAGGGAATACAGACAGAAAACATCCAAATACTGTTATATTTCTGGATGGTGAGGCTGCAGGGGATTCTGACTATGTTCCTTTATTTTTGGGGAGGTTTCTGTTTATTTTCCATCTCTGTGGCGGGCACGCTGCGAGCTAGGTGAGCTGGCGCAGGAGACAAGCCCTGACCCTCACGGCTGAACGGCGTGGACACGAAGGAACCTGAGCCGGCGCGGGCCCAGCAGGCAACCCCGCGGCCGCGAGGCGCTGAACCCCATCCGCCCGCCCCGACCCCGGAGCTCAGGTCGCCGAGGGCGGGGTCGGTCACGCAGCCCCGCGGGGAGCGCGCCGGGCGGCGGCGCCTGCTCGGGAAGCCCCGGCGCACCGAGCGCGCGGCCACGGGCGACAGCCGGCGAGGGCCGCGGAGCTGAGGCCCCGATCCCGCCACGCCCGGCCCCGAGGACCGACACCAACAAACCTCCGCACCCTTCCCCGCCACCGCAGCACGGATACCTGCGCCCCGCGTCCGCGCGCTCCCAGCCGGCAGCCAGGCGGAAGCACGTGGGGCCCCCGCGAGCAGGGGGAGGAGGGCAGGGCTGGCCGCGGCGCCCGCCGGCCGGCCCGCCGCGAGAACTCGCCCTGCCCCGCGACGAGCCCCGGCCCGGGCGCGGGCGGCGCCTGCTCGCAGCGGGGGCTTCCCTCAGCCCCGTCCCTGAGAAATGACGTCAGGCCCGGGAGGCGGGGCTGCAGCCGAAACCGCAACTGCGGCTGTGCAGGTTCGTGCGCTCGCGGGCCCGGGGACGCCGGGGGCACCTGTCTACACGTCCGCGTCGCGCCGCCCAGCTGGGGGGGAAAGGTAAGCAGCCCGCAGCCCGCGCCCCCGCGCCGTCACTGCTCGAGCGGTAGGTGCGGGGCAGCACACGGAGAGCAACTTTGCCTGGTTTGCGAGACTGGCTCCAGGGACCTGTGTGTACCTTTACCAACCCTTTCTAAATAGATTTCCATTTTAATGTGACAAGATGGAATTAGACGAGCAGACATTTCACTCGACCCTCCACACCCACAGTAATGACCTTGTAGACTCGTTCTTAACTGTTGGGTATTCTGCCCACCGTTGCGGGCGCTGTGTTTTGCAAAGTCCCTTAGGCCTGTATTTGACCATCAGAAAAGATGGTGCTCTTCTGAAAACCTGCTGGGGGGGTTCTGCTCTAGGTTACCCCCTCCCCCGATACCCCTTACCCCAGTTGAATTGGCCCAAGCACAAAACTATAAGGGCCATTATATGTATTTTTTACATTGTCTTTGGGTCATATTGCTAAACCTCAAGTAAATAAATCCAACTACTTACTTGACATTTCTCCTGTGGTTACAAATTCAAAATGTTGAAGTCGAACTCATTTTCCTTCCCCCCTCCCCCTTGAAATTGAAGCTCGCTACCCTATTTCCCAAATTTCAGTCGTTTGAAATCACACCTAAAGTTCTAAATCGGTGGTCGACGTTCCCTAATTATCTGGCCTAATTTCCTACTGTGGCTTCTTTGCGCAGTACTCTGGATGCTTTTATTTACCTACCTTCCATTCTAATGCAATCGGCACCACTGTCCTTTATCAAATTACTCAAAATATCAATTTGCCATGCACAAGGGATAGTGACCAAACGCCCTTCGTGAAGCTTACATAATTCTAGATGAACATTTAGAGTACCATTAAGTAAAAAGTATCCAGCAAATAAAAAGGGTACTGTTTAAGAGATGGATATGGAAGGTCTCTGAGGGGCGACACTGGAGGGAAGGACTGAATCACAAAGACTGAACCTTAGGGTTATTTGCCTGAAACACCTTCCTAGGCTTAAGATGTAACATGCTATGGGGCAAATCCCAGCAAAGCACCCAGAGTACTGCGCAAAAAAGCAACAGTAGGAAATTAGGGCACGTAGACCACAGATTTAGAACTTTAGGTGTGAGTTCAAACGACTGAAATTTGGAAAATAAGGTAGCAACAAAACCTTCCTTAAAAAGCTCATTCTGGCTGTTACGAAAGTTACAGCGTAAGAGAGTAAGAGTAGATGCCGGTATAACCATCATAAACTACTGTTGTTAAACCTGTTTTAAGCTGGTACTGGTGGTGGTCACAAGTTCTAGACAACTCTGTATATATTTTCAAGGTAGAATCATGTACATTTGCTTAAGAACGAGATACACCGTGAAAGGAAATCAAAGATGATATCCAAGGTATTTACCCTGAACTGGATGAAACTAGGCTACTTAAGTGGCTAATTTGGGATATTTGAAACATTCCTATCAAGATGGTGAATGAGGTTGTAGTTTGCCTGAGAGTTTTGGACCTAGAAATATTCAGGAGTGACTGGAGGGCTGATTGTTGGAGCAAATTTAAAGTTAGGTGATTGAAAGAGATCACCTAGAACACAGCTAAAGATGAAGTATGATAAACCAAGGCCGGGGTGGGGAAAAAATCACAAAGGTTACTGAGCAGTAGCCAATGAAGTAGGAAACAAGGTAGAATCCATTCATCACCACCCTCACCTTGTAACCATTAGGCCTCTACAAGAGCCGTGCCTTGCCCAAATTTCTCAACATTGCAGTGTTCTTTGAATGGCAATTTTATTAGGTCAACCACCATCCTCCCCATGCCCAATACAGACAGCTTAAAGATCTTCAACTTTCCGTTAAGATATAAAACTTAACATGGTATAGAACTATAAAGCTACCCATAGCCCTTACCTGTTTCTTCAGCCTCTAACTCTACTAAATCTGCATTCCTTCACTTGAGCCAAACAGCCTGTCACTTAAGAGTGCACCTTTGAACATGCTCTTTCCACATCTTTGCCTAATTTACTACTCCCCTCAAAGTCTTTCCTATGTCCTTGAGGGGACATACCCTACTCCTCATGATCTTACTACATGGTGCTCCATAATGGCATTTGCTACACTTCCCTGTATCACATCAGTATCTTACTATGCAGTGAAAGCAGGAACCAGTGGTTGTCACCACTAAATGTTTAGTGCTTGGTTTGATGCCTAACAAATACTCAATTTGCTGAATGAAGCCTTAGTTCAGTGACTTAATACCGGGTTTGCTATTATCAACATTAAAGAAAACTAGTACTTACACTAAAAATTGCCTTTACTAGAACACTGCCTATACTCAAAAAGCCAGTTTTCTACATGACTTTAATTCTGAGCAGCTATAAGGTATTGAAATTGAGTACATAGCAGTCTAGTCTTAAAAGACAAGGCTACCTGAGATTTAATAGCTTTCTCCTCTAACATTCCTAGTGCTTTCTTGGGTGGTATATACAACTAAAGCAGACTTCACAGACATTAAGGAACCCGGTTTTAATGTTCTGATCTAAAACATTCACTAGTTTTTCCCCCAGAACTCAAAATGGGAAAAGGAATAGGAATGAAACTTAACAGTTGTACTTTAATTTTGCCGAGGGTTTTTCCCAAAGGGATGTCAAGGGCAATACTGCTTCTTTTAAATATAATTTATAGTCAGTAAAATGAGTGCTTAATAAGATCCTACCAAATGTGATGAGGATTCAGGAGCTTAAAGACAAAATGAAGGGTTTGAACTTAGTGCTTACCTGTATTCCATTCCCCGATTGGATATATTATTGAAAATATAATAAACAATACAAATTTCCTAAGTTACTTAGGAGTCTGACTAACTTAACTACCAGCTACATTTTATGGATTGGTTGTCAAGAGAGCACCTCAGTTAATGAGCCTTTTGAGAATAAACACACATTCTCCTGTCTCTTAAAAGTGGAAGTCTCCAATATAACAGGGTTGCATATATAGGAGACAAAAGAACAGCAAAAGTTAATTGATTGAAAATGTTTAAGGGATATTTAATATCAACATACAATGATTGGAAAAATTCTTCCGTTTTCTTTCAGGATAGAAGAACCTGAAAATAAAACTGCCCTAACCAAGGTCATCATTAACATTCTACCTTAAAGCTTCAAAATACTCATTCTCCCTGTGAGATGACTGATACTGTGCAGTTACAAAAGCGTTAAGTGGAGTCTTGTTGTACCAAGGGGCCAGTGATATATGTGACAATCACTTCCTTGCAACTTGGCTAAAATATGCTAAAAATTTTACCAAACAAAAGGTTTTCAGCAGGTAGGAAAAGTATTCACATATTATACAGAACACTTAGTACCTCAGATCTTAATGGGACTTTTTAAAAAGTTCTCATCCTCATAATGAGGCACTCCTTTAGAAAATAAAGTCTGAATTGAGGCATACAAGCTTTACATTTACACTGCAATGGTAGAATGTAAAAAAAAAAAAAAAAAAAAAACCACCAAAATTATTTCAAAGAGAACGATTCCTTTTAAAACATACATAAAAATAAACCAACAACTTTACACATTCAAAAGACCTGCACTAATGCACATAAGTTTGAAACCTAGAAAGCATTTCTCCCCTTTCTGTCTCTGAACTGATTCAGAGGTCATTGTATAAAGAACTTAGTTACTTGAATTTTGATTTTAAATGTCATGAAATTTTCTCCAGATATAGCAAATTTAGTCTAATATAGGGGAACTGTAGGCATCTAGGGATTATCTGACATATTTTCTCTACCCTCCTAAAATACTGCTAACATATGGTTGTGGTACATCCCAGGCACTGTCATTTAAAGCACACAAGGGGAGGTGCTAGCAGAAGAAATACTTATTTGCAAAAGTAAACATATAACCCTTCCAATATGATGTACCACAACCACACATGAGAGTCAAGAACTTGCTTTATTTTAAAATAAACATTGACGGGCCCCACCCCTTGTGCCCACCACCCTACAAAACTTTTGAATGTGGAATGTTCAACACCCTACCCATTTTAGGTTACAAAAAACAGCGAAAGCTCCAGTTGTATTATGAGGACAGTTTCAGAACAGGTTCTTTGTGTCTTTAGTAGCTGAGCACCTACTGCAAAAATTCCTTAGCTAAAGGCTGAAAACAAAATTAAATCTCTGCACAGAAAATTAACTATTAGTAGCCTTTGCTTTGTAAGTGGGATTAATTCTTCATGAAGTCAAAGTGGGATACCATAAGCAGCATTAAGTTCATAGGCACGCAGAACTAGTGCTCAAACTGCTAGCACAAATTCCAACGTAGACATAAATTACTAATTGTCCATACAACTTGTTACTCTCCCTATACATTTAAGGGGGAAAAATCAGCACTTTGAATATAAATGCCTCTGTGAGAAATGGATAATTCAATCGGGGTTAGATAAAAGGGCAAGTAGTAGAAATAGCTGAAGAGAACCATAAAATTTGTAACACTAACAATGGGGTAAACCACTTAAGCTGCTAGCTGTTGAACACCAGTGTTTCAAAATACAACTTTTATAAACATGTTTTATTTGTTTTGCTTATACCATCGAGAACTGAAACTACTGGCTGTCATTTCCCTAAAATAGGGAAATCCATCTAAAACACACACTGGTGCTTTTCAAAAGATAGCGATTTAAAAGGGTGGTAGCAGCAGGCATTTGATAACTTTTTCTTTTAAAACCTTCAGGCTGCAGGAAAAAAACGT